AAAAATAAAATGAAATGTAAATACTAAAAAGGTAATTAAAATATATCTTTACCTATAATCTATGTGTAATCCCTATATAAATATACACATCAGATTATTCCTAAATGACTTTCCTTATATATAAAAATAAAACAATTAAATTCCCAAACAAATACACATCATCATATATAATTTAATTTACATAAATAAGTCAAGTACACATACTTTTAGCACACCATTTAATTTAAACAACTAATTCAATTAACACATAAACAAATACTTAAATTAATTAAACAAGTAAACAATTAGCCAAGAAATCAAAGAAATAATTAAAACGCAATTAAAATAATTTAAATAATACCGAGACTATCCTTTCAAAATTAGGGGTATTACAAAATCTGAGGAGGTCTTGACTATTAAATGTAGAGAGCCTTAACACGACTATTATAACTAGGGGTGGCAAATGGGTGGGTTGGGCTGGGTTGAAAATGGACAGGTCAAATATGGGTCAAGATCCAAATTCAATCCGTTCAGAACGAGTTGAAAATGGGCAGGTAAAAAATGTATAGGGTCAACCCATTATGACCCGTGGACCCATTAATTATTATTTTTTATTTTTAATTATTTTTTAAAAAGTGTATTTAAAAAATGTATAGGGTCAACCCGTTAAGACCCATATTGATGTTTAAAAAAAAAAATATTTGACCCGTGAAACCCGACCGACCCACCCAAAATTTTGATGTTTACAAATATGGAAAAGGAAAATGTAATTTGCATATTTGAAAAAAAAAAAAAAAAATGATCTGTGAAACCCGACCGACCTGCCCAAAATATTGATGTTTTAAAAATAAAATTTTCTTAAAAATTTTGATGTTTACAAACATGGCAAAGGAAATGGATATAGCCCATTTTGGGTATAATTCGGGCTTGCCCAATCCAACCCGATTTCAGGTTGGGTTGGGACTGGGCTAGGTTGGACCAGCCCAACTTGCAGCCCTTCGTGAGAGAGAGAATTTTAGAGAGAGAGAAATGAGTTGAGTGCAATATAGAATATATGTGTGTTGTGTATCTATTATGTAATGGGTGAAATATTGGTTAAATATGGGTAACCATATTCAACTCATCATGACCCTCAAATTAAGTGGTTAAAAATTACTCAACCCATTTTTTACCCATCTTAAATATGGTTTACCCACAACCATTAAAAAATGGCGCGGATATGGGCGGCTTGATAGGTTATGACCCACTTTGCCACCCTTAATTATAACACACATTATTACAAGATCTTGAGGATTTACGGAAAACATGTGTTACTCTTACCACGACCTTAACAGCTAGTCAATAACCTCAAATAGCATGATAGAGATTACTGTTATTGTATTTCAATAAATGCTTACTTGCCAAAATCACATAAAAGAAAAGAAAAAAAACTTTGTTCATTGATATTAAAAATACAAAAGATTGATGTTTGTACATATGTTATGTTTGGAGTACCGAATCATCCCGCTTGAATTTGTCAAATTCGCATCGAAAAAAAAAAATTTGTTTTCTCCTTTTATCACATACCTTAGAATAATGCGAACTTTCTCCACGTGTTGGGAGAGTTTATGGTTTTCGCAGTGCTTCTAAACAAGAACCGTGTTAGTTGACAACCAAACATCTAATGTATCATTGTGCGTACTATACACCGACTCGTAAGGAGTGATACTGCTCAGCAGATGCAATGTTCCTTGAGAAAAATATAATTTTTTTTCAAGAAAGTTGGCTGCTTTGGTATACAAATCCTTGTAATCAAACGGCGGATGCACCTCATTGGGAACATATAACTGTGACATATCAACAAGTGGTGGTAGATTTAAGTTATCAAGATTTAACAGGGGACCTGGACTAGTTGATACCATTATGCTGGTGGAAACCTCGGAGGGTAGAGAAGTGGTTGTGGTTTGTGTTGATGTGGTGGTTGTTGAGAAGGTAGAGATCTCCTAAAAGCTATGGGAGAGATAGATGACAGAAGGTTGTTTTTGGACCAGAGAGAGGGGGAAGAGAGTGAGAGTGCTCTGTTAGACGCCTCCGTATTGGGCTCAAATTACATTCTTGAAATTTTTTTTTGAGGAAAGTTGCACTTAAAGAGAAATCAACACGTGAAATACCTATTAGACAAAAGTGCAAAAACCCCCCATTGAACTATCACAAATCGGCATTTTACCCTTTTGGATTACAAAAATAAACAAGTAAGCACATAAGTATCACAAATCGTGTAAATTAACCCTTAAAACTCAATTCCGACCACTTTCCGGCCCACAAGGTCAACACGTGGCTGTCATTTTCTTTTAATTCTGAAATTGCCCTGAAATATTACAGTTGTAGCCCTTTGCCATATATGTATATATGTAAATATATATAAATATATATATCTCTGTGTATGTGTGTGCGGCTGCTGTTGTTACTCGGGGCAACCTCGCCACTGATGCGCCTGTGCCCGCTTCAGCCCCGCCATTAAAGCATTGGAAATTGGGGGTTCCAAGGCGGAGGTAGTGGTTTGGGTGGTGGAGAGTTAGTCGCGGACCAAGATGAAGCAGAGCTCCAGAGCACGGCACTGAAAAGGGTGCAAAGAATTGGGATAAGATCGAATACAATCTTGTTGGAGGAAGCCAGGAGTCGCCGCCACGTGAAGCAGCGTCGTTTGGCCGTGATTACGACGGCCGGCTTCAGCGATCGAGTGGTTCAGTATACTCGCCGCCTCCGGCATTAGGGTTTGTTGGATCGTACTTAATCCTGCTCTCATCTTACTGTAGAGAAACAAACAATCTGAAAAGCCTTTTTTTCAGCTCACAATTGAAACTCTTTTGAATCTCTGATAAACCCCAGAATTAGAATTGAATCAAATTTAACTTTCTTCGGATCTTTGAGCTCCGATGATCGGAAAATCCAAAGCAACCAAGAAATGGTACAACTATCTTCAAATTAGGTTTTCAGATACCCGCTATAAAAAATGAACTTTAAAATTCTCTCTTGACATTAATCAATTCTTAGCATCCTCAAAAGTGTGGGATCTACTCTCTCTCTAAGAGATCGATAAAAGCTAAGACACAGTCACTTTCTCGTTCCACCACCAATAGTATGTATCCCAGAACCAGACGAAGAAATGGTAACAAATGTAACGGAAAATATAAAAACAAAACCAACTTTTTCATATATATATATTGCAAATTACATACAATAAAGCCAAGTGTGACAAACTAGTTTAAAATCAAGATTACGGCAAATGCTCCTTTTATTCTAGAGAGAGAAACAAAGAGAGAAAGAGATGTGGGTACTTTCAATTGCAAGGATTTCTGAAAAATGCTTTCTGGGCAGAGTGATCTACTCTATTTTTTGTGTCATCTTTTTTATTATAATTTTTGTTTAATATTATCGCCTCAATACAATAGGTATGATGGAGAGAGAAGTGGATTCATGAGTAGATTACTTACCTCATTTCTCTTTCTAACTTTCTCTCTTTTATTATTTATTTTTGTATTTTTTTTCTTAATTACAATAGGTAGTTTTGTAAATCTACATTGAGGTCGGCCGGAAAGTGGCCGGAATTGAGTTTCAGGGGTTAATTTGCACGATTTGTGATAGTTATGTACTGATTTGTTCATTTTTGTAATCTAAGGGAGTAAAATGCCGATTTGTGATAGTTTAGGAGAATTTTTTACACTTTTACCTATCTATTATTTTCCTAATATTGTAAATAGTGTAAAAGTTGAAAATTCTCTACATGTGAAATGACACTTTTATTCACCTAATATATAATTCATTTTATTTCCTTTTTATTTTCTCCCTTCTTCCCTCTCTTTAATCAACTTATGAATTTTTCTTGGTTTTAAGTAGAACATATTTAAATAGCATGCGTGTTTGATTGGTAGTATATAAATATGTATTAAATAACGTCATGTAAATTTAATTTGAATAGGTTTGAGCATAACTTTATCTTAATTTTTTTATTTAAAATTTCACTTGACAGTTGGTTCGATTTTATTGCATCGATGGTGCAATATCACACCAATCAGCTTCTTCTTCTTTCCTTATTTTTATTTTTTTTACTCTATAGCGTTATAAGGGGTTATAAGTTCATTTTGAATGAGTTGGAGGGCATTTTGGTTAGTACATATAATTTTGAGTTATAACTTACAAGGCCATTTTGAATGAACGGCATTTTGGTTAGTACATATAAGTCTTTTAGAGCATAATAGTTATATTGCAAAGAGGTAGAAGAAATTTTTTATATTTTATATTTTTTTATATATTTTATATTAGTACTCTCCCACAAAATGAAATTGTCCATTTCAGGGGCTAGAATTCTTTACCTTTGGGCTAGAATTTTTTTTTATATATTTTATATTAATATAAAAGAGAAAAGAATAGAATATAAAATTTTAAAGCAATATTGAATATTATAAATTATAGTAACTAATATAGCAATATAGAATTTCAATTTATTTATCACAATTACAATTTTAAATTCAATATTATTAGATAGTAAAATTTGAATTTTTTATACCATTTATAGGTATACTTAGCTTTTTCAGTGTTTAATTTCAAAACTTTTGAACTCTTTTCTTTTATTTTCGTTTTTTAAAAGCTAATCTGCACCCAGTTCATAGTCTTATTGATCGAGTCTCATGGGCATTTGTGAGTATGCATATATATATATATATATATATATATTCTTGTTATTATTTGTCATCCCAATCAATACTATTTTATTTATTTATTTTTCAAATCAAGGTGGTTTTTCAAAAAACATATAGCCCCTACAAACATGGTGTTATTTATTTCCCTCGATTTTTCTTTCAAACTCATTTTTTAAGGCAAAAGCATGATTTAAAGAAATAAATTTAATAAATTTAGTTTGTTTTGGAGAGTAAATAAAATAACTACTACTATCTCCCTCCATTCGAATTTCATGGATTTTTGAAACAAATAAAAAACAATTGAATATCTTGACTAAACAACCACTACACTTTTGATCAAAATTAAATGTACACCTTTTTCCCGCCCACAGACAAATATATATATATGTTATGCTCTTGCCATCTTCTTACATTTCAAAGCTAAAATCGAACTAATCTATGGCGCCCAAAAAAGGCTATTCGCTACCTTCACCCATTCCAATCGGTAAAACCCTAATTTCTCAAAACCCTAGAAATCAATAACTCAGAAGTTCCATTTCTAACCATAACTTTCTCTTTGTTTGTCAGGGAATTGCGAGGTCGTTGTCGAAGCGAAGAAATTCACCTCCGAAACGAATGGAAACACTCTTCAAATCTCTCTATCCAAAAATGTCAAAATCAAAATCTCAGGTACTCGTTCAAATAATCACTTAACTTGCGAAAATGTCACGACATTTATACACATGTATTGTAAATAAGAGCGGAACAAATGAATATTTAACTTTAAAAAGAAATTAAATAACTACAGAATACTCTCTAATTAAGAAAAAAAATACATAATACTCTCTCGAAATTTAATAAATTGCAAGTTTACATTTGCTTTGAATTTATTTATTTTTCAGTTTTGGTTTATTGTTTGGTGTTTAATTTATTGTTTGTGGCAGTGGTAGAGAACATGATTGGAAAGAACTGTAATGATATTCAGCATTCTGGATCTGAGGAAAATGGTATGACTTTCATATAATTTGACTGTATGCTTTAATTTTTTATTTTGGGTATCTTTTTTATGTCTTGATCAATTTTGATTAGGGGATTTTTACTTTGTGCTCGTTAACCCCAAAGATGGAGATAGTGGTGCCAAGTTTTTGCTTCAGGTAAATATCTCTCCTTTACATTTGAACGATATTTCCCTGTTCCACTTTGGTTTTATTGCTCTTGATTCATTTCAATTTGCTAGTAAGAGTCTCTCATTTTAATAGTTAATAGTATCTCGTATTCTTGTGTTTTTGGTGTTGCAGGATGTATTGAACATATACACGAAAGAGCTGCCCACAATGAATTATGCTGCAAATACTGGAAAGGAATCTATGTTTCTTGAAAGATGTGTATCAAATGGGTAAACGTCCCCATATCTCACTTCTTTTGTTGTATATCACACTCTGTGTCTCTCCTAAGTTATTGCTCCTCCTGCTTTACTTGTTTCTTCTGGCATTGCTCCACACTACAGCTTTTGCAAGCCTGTCCTCCAAAATCTGTAGTACATGAAACACACAAATCAATCTTCCTTATCTAATTATTCTGAAGTTCAAGTAGCTTTTGATGATTTAGAAACTTTTAATGTTTCCCTCTTCAGGAAGTATTGCACGTTGCTTTTGAAATCCAAGTCTGATGAAGGTTCTGGAGAGGTAGGCTTGACTTGGCCAAAATACATAAATTCACTTTACTACATAGGCTGGATATGCACACGATAATTTACTTTACTGCATATATTTTTTAAACTATGGTGTTCAATTGAGAAAATGGTTGTTAGTTGCAATAATACATGCCCTTTTATAAACCACTAATTTGAAAGGAACATGATGCCAATGCCTTGTGATCTAATAGGGGAGTTCATGCCTCAAAGGTTAAATGGCCTGAAGTATATGTCATGTTAAATTCAAACCTTATTTTAGATCATGTTCTCTTACACAACCAGCTCCACTTTTCTTGCCGGTACTTGCATAATTAAAAGTTGAAACTCAAAAGTCAAAATAATAATTCTCTTTCTTTTCATTAAAACAATCAATGCACATCAACAATTCTCTTTCTTAATTGTCATTCCATATCTGCACACACACACACACACATAGTTACATAGCTCTATATTTGCTTTATTATTCTATGTATCATTCATCCATCCTTGTCTATTTATTTGTTGGTATATGTTTTAGAGAGGGTAAGTATTGGTTGGTTTATGATTCTTGCTCTTTTTTCTTTTCTTTTTTAATTTTTAATTTTAATTACAGGTCATTTCTGCAATTACTTATCAAATAATTCCTGCTGATATGCAATATGCTGAGGTTCCTCTTGCGGCTGTTAGTTCAATCTACCAACGCAAGGTTTTGTTCTCGATCCAGTTCTTGCATAATATCATTTGATGTGGTGCAGTTAGGATGATGACTTGTACTTAAATAAATAGTAATACTTAGTATCTGGTTTTAAGTAGAAGCATGTAATTTAATTCCATTCAAGCTCCAACAATAATGTTTTCAGTTTGTTTCATATATGGTAAGATGAGCAGATAGTGCCAATAGGTGGTTACAGTGGGCCTCTTAAAGCCGAAAGTGAATTGCATTTTTCCTTTTTATTCTTTTGGGGACATATTTAATCTTGGATCTACTTGAATTTATTGATTTAGCATATCGATTTCTGCTTTTGTTTCTAGAGAAAGTAATTTTCAGCTCACAGTAAGTTGGATTTTGCTAGATATTATATCTAACTTTCTTTTTGACATAATTTTTGACTATTAGTCTTATTTGGCTCAATAGGATTTTTTTCCCTTCAAGTCAATTGACATAATTTTGTAACTTGTAGGGGATTGGTCACCTCTTGTACATGTCACTGAGAAAGAGACTGCAAAGTATAGGTATTCGCACTATATTCTGTTGGGCTGATAAGGAGTCTGAAGGATTTTGGCTTAAACAGGTACATCTTAAGTTGTGGTTGTCATGAGATTGTAGCAGAACCTAGTCACAGCTCATTGTTGGTTCAACTGATTCTATGTCTATCTTCTTTACCTTCATTATCATGTATTCGTAACTTATGGCATGAGCATAAATGTCATTGAATACCTCTTTTACCCTGATCAAAGTTTCTTAGAGAAGGCAGCTTTCTGAAATAAATTCTGGACTTGGAGGAATAATCTCTTTGAGTGGGTAGAAATAAGTAACATCTTGTGACTTGCATGCGTTTACCTTTCAATTCTCTCTAGTTATAATGTCTTTTCATGAAAAATCTCAATAAAGAAAATTTGGTTGATATGGTGATGTGGTATAGATTGGCAGAATTATATTTATGTGCTTGGTGTGGTAGCTTGGACCTTTTCCTAATATAGAAATCATGAGTTTTTTTCTCCATATGGAAGTGCTTTTATCATTTTTGGAATAAGCTTCTCTGAGATTGGACTACAAATACAGGGTTTTGTATCGATAGGTGAGGTTGATGCCAAGGGCAGAGCTCGTAGGCTGCCTATTAAGTCTGACATTCGCAGGGCATTATGCTTTCCTGGTGGTTCAACCCTCATGGTTTCTCATCTTAACAAGGACAGTTCAGCTATCCCTTCAGAGCCTCTAAAGCTGTCTTTTCCATTAAAGCCTATTGAGAAGTCTTTGCAATCTGCATTTGTTCAAAAACAAGGTGTAGGAGGTATAGAAGAAAGCCGTGATTCTTCCAAGGCTGTAAATCAGATGACTGCCAGCAATGAATGTTCTCAACCTGCTGTATTAGTGAATGATGGATATCTAATGGATGGTAGGTATAATTTAGTTATTTATACTGCTAATATATTCCCCTTCTGCTTATATATTCTTGCTCTTTCATGATAAATAGATTCATACACTAAGCAGTTGTTTGAAAAGCATATGGAAGTGCAATCATTATTTTTGTTTTCCTCGTTATTAGAATACTCGGTTCTACCCTTCAGATGGAAACATTATGTAAAATGAAGTTATCACCTAAACAAGTAATTTTATAGTTAAATTTTGAGATGATTACGGTGGAGTACCCCATTAGGCATTAACTATCTATCAATGTTCAAAATGGACCCACTTCAGATAGTAACTGGACAAATGGTTTTATATGTAGACCAACTTTTTTTCTATTTTCATTTTTAAATCTTTTTCGCAAGCAACTTAGGTTGTTACGCGCAGTTTCACAACGTTGATTGTTTTTATCAGGTTCTTCTCGCTGTCATGTTTCAGTTCAAGGTTGCCCAGAACTAAATCCTTTTGAGGGAATCGATTGCAGCAACATGGCTAAAGGTTTAGGATTAAACAATATTGGACCTGATGCTGAGGTGAATCAATGTTCCTGTTCTGCGCTAAGTGGAAAGAAGAGGGTGTGGGAAGCCTCATATACCTCTCTGAAGTCAAAAAAAGTAAAGGGAGGTCATCTAATTGACTGCCAATTAGATTCTAGGGATCTTGTTTCTGGAAGTGATGGAAGAAATAAATGTTGTTTTGATGAAGGCTCCTTAGCCATTTCCAAGAACAAATCTTTGGCGGAAGTTACTACAAGAGATCCATTGATCTATAGTTATCCAGAAAAGAATGTTGAAGAATGTGGAGCAATCAATATGACATTGGAAGATCATCATGGCAGTGAAGAACTTCTGTCAAAAGGAGAATGCTTTAGAATCATGCTGATGAATATTGCCAATGATGAAAAGAAATTTAATCTCACCAAGGTATGTCTACTAATATACTTCATTTAGTTATATCACAAACTGATGTCCCAAGGAAGGAAGGGGGAGGGAGGAAAGGGAGAAGGATAGAGCAGGCTTCCATTGTTTTGTAGAAGAGAGAGGAAGAGGGGAAGGATGGGAGGAGGGATGCCCCCACTATTTTGCTTCCATCCAAAAGTGAGAGGAAGGTGAGAGAGGAAAATGGATATTTAATAGATAAAACTGATAAAGACGTTCTTACCCTCATTTAAATATATTAATTTATATACTTAAGGGCATATTGGTAAAATAACAATAGCATCCCTCTCTTTTCTTTCCACCCAACCAATCAAAAGGAGAGATGGACATAGTCCTTTCCATAGGGATGCCTCATCTATCCCCCCCCATCCCTTCCATCTATATTTCCATTCCTCCTATCAAATGGAGCATTGGTAACTGGTAAGTGGCATAGTATTTTAAGTAGGCGATACTGGCTTTTGTTAATAACTTTTATGCGTTAGATTTGACTATTGTTTTTCATGAAATTTGGTGTTTGTTACAGTTCATTCCTCTATGATACATTTACTCCTTATCCTTAGATTTCCTTTTATAGTGCGTTAATACTGTTAATACAGATAATTGAAGACCTTGGTGGGGCTGTTACCTCTGATGGAAGTGTAAGCACACATGTTGTTACGGGAAAAGTGAGAAAAACTTTGAATTTCTGCACTGCTCTCTGCTCAGGGTCAGTTTTATTGTACTGTTAATTCTCCAGCTTCTTCTACTGCTTGATTGTTTCCTACATTTTCTGTTTGTAATGGGTTTTGCAGCTGAATGCCTATCCTGTGCATGTTAAGCCTCTGACCAGAATTTATATGTTCTGAATATTTCTTTAAAATAAAAAAATAATCAGTTGCACCATCTCTTTTTTCTGATAAGGTTGTCAGTATATCCTTCTGCTTGCTGTGCATTGTAATGCTATTTTGGCTGCTAATAGTCTCAAGAAGATATTAGCTTTTCTTGAGATATTAGCCTTTAGAAATGCACAGTGGTGTTTAAGCTGGGGCACTGGATTAATTGGCTCTCATTGTGCTCATGAAACAAGTTCAGGAGTCAGTTTTTAGATTTTTGAGTGTACAGATCATAATATTGTAGATACTTGAGAGGGGAGAGGATGTTGTTCATGGAGTTAAAGTGAGGCAGATGAACTGGAGAGGTGCATTTGTGGCTATTTTAGAGATTCAAGGTATGCATCTCGATCTCCAACTGGCACCGAGACACTGCTTTTTGGATGGTGGCTCGTACCCTCCCTGCTTGTTGTAGCCCCACTAGCCTCGCTCCCACATCCCGGAGCTGGATTTGTTCCAGTTTCTAGACCTCCTCCTTCAGACAGAGGGAGAAATACTTTAAGCGCATTCGTCGGATGATGGGTGGTAATGAGAGGTATTTTAAAACAAATCATATTAATGGAAATTTTCTATACAGTGGCTTAAAGCCTTAAACGCCAGCCACATCATTGTGTGAAATGCTGCACGGTTTACATAAACAGCCTATAAAATGAGGCAACCATGATAAGAGATGCTAAGATGGATGAATAGTAATGTCTAAGAAGATTGAATAAGAGGTGGAACATCATTGGAAATCAGATTTTTATTTTTTGATTTCCTGTGAATTTTCTTTGTGTTGGTCTTCCCAATTTATGGACATAGTCATCTTCCTTTCGTAGATATATTCCTGTGTGCATTTTTCTTGCTGTTCTGCACACTCCGATATGGCTCTATTTCAGTGCCTGTCTTTACATGGATATATTACCTGTTACACAGAGCTTGGATAATCTCACCCAGTTGGTTAAAAGAAAGCTTCAGGAAAGGCAGATTTGTTGGTGCGTACTATGTTGCTTTTGTTATCAACTTATGCTTTCTTGTTGTGTGTAAATATGTTTTATTGGTTCCCATCTTAATTTTGCAGATGAAACCCCTTTTGTTTTGAAAGATGAAGATTATGAGTTGAAGTATAGAACTGAGATAAATGGTGCTATTCTTAGAGCAAAAACAAGTCCTCACGCTTTGCTTAAAGGTCATGACATATGCCTTTCAGCTCATGTCCATCCCCCCATTGGTACCCTATCAGCTATTGCAAGGTCTGCTGGAGGAAATGTAAGTTTTTTTCACATACAATGGGTTCTGACTATTGGTTAAGCGTGCTACAGAATTTAAAATGGTCATCTATATTATCTAGTATAGCCACACTAGTTCCTGGTATGCAATATTTAAATACTTTATTAGCCTATGTAACGTTTTAGCATTATTTTGTCACCCTTAGTTACAAGTCCAGGAGATTGAGGATGATAAATTTGGAGTGTGACCACAAAAACAGAGAAGGGGAAAAAGGCAGTCCGTGGATAACATCAACATGCACATATATTCCTTTACTATTTGTTTTAGTGATAAATTTTTGGGTGGGTTTTCTGGAATGGCGAAATAGTTACTCAATTTTTGTTACAATTTCTCCTGAAACAAGGACATCCTCATGCTTTAACTCCATAATTCCATTTATTCCAACATGAAAGAGCACGCATGCACATTTTGTTGACATGTATATGTGAAGGTAGATGAGTTCGGTTTTGCTCATAGGCTACAATCATCACCAATCATAGTGATTTTGAATTCCTTAATTGATAGCTCAAACTTTTTCTGTTTATAATACGTTACCACATAATTGTATTACGAAATCTATTTGATACAAGCTTAGGGGAAGTTGTTGCACCATTCTATTCACTCCGGGAGAGCCACTGGCATCACCAAATTGTTTGCAGTTTGCGGCCAATATTGCAGTGTTTTTCCCCCCAAGGCTGTTACGTTTTCGATTTTCCCCATACTTGTGTGCTTTAGTATTAATGTTTCTCCCAACAGGTTATCCGTGGGCTGGACAAAGTAAATGAAGCATCAAAAACTATATTTGTGGCATGCGAAGAGGACATGGACGAAGCACTATCAGCTGTAAAGAAAGGGATTTGGACTTTCAGTAGCGACTGGTTCATGAACTGTATCATGAGACAAGAACTTGATTGGGAGGCTCCCCAGTTTGCAGAATCCCTCTAACTGCACTTCATAATTCATGATTGTGTGATATGGATCAAGTCTTGTAGGTAGTTTTGTACTATGGAAGTATATATATTTGGGAAAAAGAATATGGGAAAATGTATCTATCATTTTAAATTATTTTGCAATCCTGACAGTTTGACGGATAATATCAAAATGTCAAATTTTTGTTTGAAGTTCTTGCCTCCTGGGATGACACTTTAGGCCCAATTGTTTCAACAGAATCTCTCTCACACACACACACACAAATGCTAAGGGATGTTTATTCAATTCCTCTTTATTTTAGAGAAAATTTGTTATATATATATCGTTTATCTATCTCGTCTATCATTGATTCTATCTACGAATCAAGTCAAAAGACCATTAGATTTGAACTCATAATAGATCAACATACTAGTACCATGATCATGATTCAAAATCAAATCACCTCAAAAACTAATATATTTGAAAAACATGAATATATATATATATATATATATATATTTGAAAATGGATACGGAATGCTAAAAGAGATTAATATAATTGGCGTTAGAAATAGTTGTCGGCGTTGAGCAATAGTCACAGACGGAGGGAGAACAGGATGAATCATGAGTTTTTGCAGAGAAAATACATATACATAATATTTTGACAAAGAAACAAACGGATTAAAATTTTCTCTGTATAGTAAAAATATTTAAAAAATAAACTCCAAATTAATGTTTCCAAGAACCCATTTGGCATTAGAATAAAAGAACTCTGATCACTAGAGTTTTGTCAAAAAATTGCTGTTGGTGAAAACATGTAAATGTTTTCAGACATATTATAATAAGTTTTTTTAATAATTATTTTTTTTATAAAATTTTTTTGATAACAATATTTTTAAAAATAATTGTATTACTAATTTTATAATAATATCCTTTAATATAATGTTAACATTATAAAAGAAGGGCTGAGATTTTCTTTATTAAAAAAAAAAAATTAATATACAATTTTTACTCAATAATTTAAAAAGCTCTAAATTTTTTCAAAAGCCTTGCGTTAAAATTGATAATTATTAAAAGCACTTTTAATAATTACCAAATATATCTGGATATAATTTTTTTAAAATAAAGTAATCTCAATCTAGTTCAACACCCTATAATATAACTCAACAATTATTATTACTTCATTATTATTTTTCCTTAAATTAGTGGCATCATAAATGATGATTATTATTATTTCATAATTTTATTATTATTATTATTATTTTTAGGTTAGTGGTGATTTGCCATAAGATGTACCTAAATTTAATGGTCTCCACTCTCCAGTCTTGACGAAATTTTGGATATAAGTGTGTCTGTTGTGTGTTTGGGTCAGCTTTTGAAAATATTTTATATTTTCAGTGAAACAAAAATAAAATAATTTTTGTTATGTTTTACGAGTAGATTATTAAAAAAAGGAGAAATAGATTATATATATACACACGCGCGCACACACACGGTACACACACACACACAAAATATATATATATATATATATATATATATATATATAATACAATGATATGCGGTATATTTATAAGCTACGGAAGTGCACTGGTAAGCGAAGAGTGTCCCTGTTTTCATGGCTAAAACGGCGGCCAAACCCGTTTGTGCACGGATATCTGGTTCAAATGCTCCATTCAGCTCGAAATGGAAAGCTTCGAAATGGTTCAAATTACGGAACTACCCTATATCTTCAACAATTCGAGCTTCTCAATCCATGGATGACAAGAACAAGGTCTACAAAGAACTGGGTTTGTCTCTATTTCTCTCTCTATATACACACAGTATATGTACTCTGCTCATAAGGATATATAAAACTCCCCTTCCATTTCTGTTGGCCAATTTCTTTTTTTAAAATTTTGGAGTGAGTTGGAACGAATATATAAATTGATATTGATAGTTCAATTTTGATAGAAGCAATACCAAATGTCATTGAATTGATATGGATTTATACTACGTACCATGTGAACTGTTTCAGAAATTCTCTTAAATAATATCTCTTTTCATATACATGTTTGTTGCTAAGGCACTAATTCGGTCCCTTTTGCTGTGAATGTTTTGTTTTAAGGGTGACTTGTGGTGCGAGGGTGATATTGGATGACCTCTTATTGTGGGCGAGGCCGCGAGGCTATGTTGGAGGACTTACTCATATGCACATAAAAATTAATTAATGAACTAATGTTTGCTTGAGCCAATGATTGTATATTAAGTTTTTCAGTAATGACTTTGTTTGCTTGAGCCAATGAGTGTATATTTAATTTTTCAGTAATGACTTTGTCTTAGTGTCGGTCTATATATAGTGTTGGTCTGTGTGAAGTTATATGGTAAATTTCTTTGTTGATACAACTTGATGCATATGGGCTTAATGGATACCGTTGGTCTATATATAGTGTTGGTCTGTCTTAGTGTTGGTCTATATATAGTGTTGGTCTGTGTGAAGTTATATGGTAAATTTCTTTGTTGATACAACTTGATGCATATGGGCTTAGTGGATACCGTTGGTTGCTTTCCTACACCCATTCAAGTTGGAGCCACTAGTAAGAACAAAGATTAAAGGAAAGTCAAAAAAAAAAAAGAAAAAAGAAAAAAGAAAAAGAAAAAGAAAAAAAAGATGTGGATCTATTGAACTAGGAAAATCCATGGTAATCTGCAATATATTAACATGTATGGCCATTTATAAGGCCAGATAAGAAAGCATGATCTGTAATGTACCTGAAGGATTATGCGGTCACATGTTTGTTATGGTTGTGTTCCTACATATCGGTGCATGTTCAATTATATGTATGCGAAAAATGTTTGTTAATTTGTTTTTGTGACGGTTCAGATCCATGAGAATGGTCCCTTGTTTTTATTTTTATTATTAGTTCTTTGATATGAGAAAATAAAATAGTTTTTAGGCAACTACAAAAGACTGTTCTTCCATAAAGGGCCTTTCTCCAAAAAAAAAAAAAAAAAAAACACGGAAGGTGGTTTTCTCCAATATTAGTAGTTGTTATTGTCACTGGAAAAAATGTCAGCTGAAAGTTTTAATTATGCTGCAAATGATCTGGATATTAGTTTGTGGCTATTCTTTGGTGCATCAAATCATATCTTACCCAAGGAGATCCATTTATCCTATATCTCTTCAATGGTGGTTCACATTTCAATGAAATCTTATAATTTCTTTCACAATATTGGTATTGATAGTTGGGTTTTGTTTAGGTATGTTTTCGTTAAGAAAGAAGATTGAAGATGCAGTTCTCCGTGCGGAGATGTTGGCACCAACAGCATTAGAACTTGAACAAGCAAGCCACATTAAGCAGGAAGAAATGATACGGGAACATAACCTTTGGGATGACCTTACTAAATCAAATGAAATGCTTGTCAAGTTAGCTGATACAGCAAAGGTGGTTGATGCTCTCAAGGACCTAACATATAAGGTGATGTGTTATGCATATTGGTCTCGTGGTATTTTTATTAAAAAGATAATGTGTTGCACTAGTTGGAGTTACATGTATGAAATGTGGGAAATTCATTGGGCTGGGCAAAAGGATCTGAGAAGCACTGTTTGTGATTGATTCTTGCCTGCCTTGATAATATTCACAATTGTTGCCCACCAATGTTTTGTAACTATATCTATAAACAAAAATTTCTTAGAAAGATAAAAATCCCAAAACAATAAAAAATATAGAAATATTATTACAAATATATGGAACCTGTATGTATCTGCAACTTCACCAAGTAACTAAGAATATGGGTAAAGGTAGAGCCTTCACATGAGAAATCAACATAAGAGTATCAAGAAACTCAATTACTAAATTTGATAAACCCCATTAGTATAGATATATTTTAATAAAGTATAGGGGTATCATGAAAATTTCGTAATAAAAATGAGGCGGGGCTGGGCAGGGCATGGCAGGGTTACCTTTTATTTTCCCTGTCCGGTTTTTGCTCCCTCACCCCCTCCAGTCCAAGTCCTATTGGGTATCTCCAAAACCATCACAAATGTAGAGAGGCAGGTGGGGACCTGACGGGACACGTCATTTTTCCACCCCTAATTGTTAGGATCATTAAAAAGATCAAAATCCTATGATCCTAAACAATTTCCGATGGTGATCTCACTCAAATCCTACTCTTTTGGGATATATTATATGATTCGATTTGCAAATTTAGATCATAAAATCACATTATTTTTTCAGTTGTTTGAGATATGTCACCCGTTTGAGATATTAAAAGTCCTTCACTGATAAAGGCCTTGGTGAAAGGAATTTTGTTGGAAGGAATTCATAAGAAAAAGACTTTTTTTTGCATAGTTGATACTCACACACACATGCCTCCATGGAGGCTTGAACCCTTGACCTCCCTTTGGAAAGTAAGAACCTGATACCGCTAGGCCACTGGCCCGTTGGTAAGAAAAAGACGTTTGGCGAGCACATTTCTTAAATTTACTTTAACTTTTGTATTATTTTTTTCTTGACAATAATATCATTTATCCTTAATAAATATTGCAAGCCTCCAACAAAAAAGTGTGAATGCGATTGTGGTGGAAGGCGATGGCATGCTGGTCCTGGCAGAAAGCAATTGCGATGGTGGTGGTGGAAGGCGGTGGTTGAGGAGGGTGGTGGTGGCAGTGGTGGAAGGTTGCGATTGATGGTGGCGGCGGCGGGAGTGGTGGAAGCCTGGAAGGCGGCAGTGGTGGAAGGTTGCGATTGATGGTGGCGGCGGTGGTAGTGGTGGAAGCCTAGAAGGTGGCGATGGTAGTGGTAGGAGGTCACGGTGGCGGTGGCGGTGGTTGGTGGCGGTGGTTGGTGGCGTGGTAGTGGAGGGTGATGGTGGCGGTGTTGGAAGGTCGCGGTGGCGGCTGTGGTGGAAGGTGGTGATGGTGGCGATGGTGGAAGGTAGCGGTGGCAATGGTGGTGGTGGTGGAAGGTCACGGTGGCGATGGTGGAAGGTGGTGGTGAAAGGTGGCGGGGGTGGAACGAAGGACCAAGAAAGAATATAGGACAATCTTGTCACTTTATGAAAAGTACATGGTCAAATTAGTAAAATAATAAATTTACCCTTTAAAAAAAATTGACTTCTTAAAAGGAGGTTTCAAAAGCAACGTTTTCTTACTTCTCTAAAATGGGCTTCCTCACCATTGGCTTTTTGAAAAAATCCTTTACATATCACAATTTTTTTTCAAATGGACTTTTTAAACTTGGAAGTACTTTTTGAGGTTTCAGGAAGCTCTCCAAATGGGGCCATGTCCTAATCAAAATTTTCACTTAAATTTGTTTTGGAATGGCAAATGACTGTATATCTCATGAATTGGTTGGTTATGTGTTCTTTTCAGACCATAAAAGTAATGGCTGAACATTACAATATTTTACTTGATCATGTATGCTAATTTGTGCAGGCTGAAGAAGTTAAGCTGATCACGCAGCTGGCGGAGATGGATGCTATAAATTATGGTCTTTTTAAGCAAGCGTATACTGCGTCTGTAGATGTAAACAAATTCTTGGATAAATACGAGATGTCTAAACTTCTTAGTGGGCCATATGACATGGAGGGAGCAAGCCTGACAATTAGAGCCGGAACTAATGGCATCTTCCATGAGGTTTGAAAACTAGTTTCTGTTTTTAAGAGCACCTGTTGTGCATGTCAAATATGTTATGAAAATAAATATTGGGAGTTGGAGTATTATAGATGCTATCCTTCTATAAGTTCTTTAAAACCCCGTAGATTAGTTCCACTCTTAGACTAACTAATCAACAAACTCTTACTTTCAAACATGTGCATAGTGTGAGTTAGTGCTGTTCTTGAACTTCCACGACTTCCTATGAATTAAATTTGGTTCTGACGAGCAAAGTTCAATCTGAAGTGGAAGCATAACTTTTTGTGCCTGACATATCATACCTCGTTGTTTGACCTTTGGTCTCAACTTGGTGATTTATGTCGAAATGAAATGTGATATGGCTTCAAGATTTTGATTGTCCATGGCTCCTTTTTAGGATCTAACAAAGAGGATGACATCAGGCAGAGAACCAGAACTTCACGTAGTTATATAGGCAAAAATCTTGTTTTTTTTTTTTTTTTTTTCTTTTTTGGATCTGATCCTTCTTAGTTGGGTGGTTCATTTTGTTACAGCTATCTCTTTGTACATCAAAATTTCCGTTTTGTTTGCTTTTCAAATCTGTCAATGCTTCCATCTTCGGTTGGGTATATTTGTTTGTATCTAAATAGACATTGTTAAAAACCTTGTGATATGTTTTGGCCTTTTAGTGTCCTACTTCAAGTGGAAATCAGAAGGCGTAATTAATCCTTCTTTTTAAAGAACTCTTTTTAAGTGACTTGATCTGAAATTCCTCTGGCTAAATTGTGACCTTTGTCAGCGTGAACAAAATTCTTTTGGCTTATTAAGATTTTGTTTTATTTTAATTATCCTTCTTTAATAGTTGCCTTAAACTTCATAGGGAGTTGATCTGATTTTGTATTGGAACAGGTCAGATCACCTCATCAACTTTTCAGGGTTGTTGATTCTTTTTATAAAATATTTCAAAACATAAAACTATGAAATTTAAAATTGTTATTAATTTGTGATGAAGTTTTGTTCATGTTACTGTTATCATCATTACTTATTATTCACTATAAGTCCTTGCTTTAGGGAAACTCAGTAAAACCTTGATCTCATCCACTTTCTAATTTGCTGTACAAACCTAATCACAAGAAAACTATCATTTTAGTCGTGATTCTTGGGGAAGATGTTAGAGTATTATTATAGCTGGATACTAAATAGTGCTGTACATTGACATGGCTTTATTGGGTTGACTTGTGGATTGCTCTGTATATGACTTGTTATAATCACTTGATCTCATTATAAATTGATTTTACAAATTTTCCAAACCCAGATGTGGGCAGAACAACTCCTAAGAATGTATCTGAAATGGGCTGGAAAGCAAAATTGTGGAGGATGGGTGGTTGAGAAATATCCTTCAGAGAATGGTGGTTTCAAGTCTGCAACTATTGAGTTCGAATCCAATTATGCTTATGGCTATCTTTTAGGGGAGAGAGGTGTTCATCAAATGATAAGTTCTCACGACGGACCTATCCTCCACGAGGTATGAATTTCATGTGGCCTTGAAATCAGAAGTTGATTCATATTGCATTGCATGGATCGATGTTGATCCATCAATTTTTGTCACTAAAAAAGAAACTCATTTTCCTTGATCATTTAGCTGCTAATACCTTTTTCCATTTATAATTTAATAATGAACTTGTGATCTGTCCATGTGCAATCCTAAAATCATCCTTCAAATGCAATTAGGCAAAGTTTATATTGTGTAGCTAGCATGATTATTACCACACATTTCCTGGGTAAAGTTTACTTGTCCCAGCATTCTCAAGCTACATAGATGCAGAAAATAAATGCATGGAGGTAGAACCCGAGTCAGATTTGCTAGGGTAAGATTTGATCAGTTCTGTGCAGCAGCTTATGGCATAGTAATTTGGCAGCATCTCATAGTAGTTGGATACACGTGTTGGTGGAAATCATAGGCTCCAAAGATTCTATTTAACAAACCCGACATAAGGACAGATACGTGTGTTGGTGTCTGATGTACAAATCGTCTACAAAACTTATAAGGCCAAGATATGGTTTCCCTTGTTATAAAGTCACAACTCTATTTAACTGTAAGCTGCTTTTCTCAAGCTATATTGGGCTCGGTTGTGTAAATACCTAAACCTTAGGCAAAATACAGTTCAATCTGTAATTTGGCCTCATCACATTTGAAAAGGATCCTCTTAAACTGCCTTATAACAAGTCTAAAGCGGATGACTAAGTTAATATTATAAAACATTTTCCACTGGCATGATAATTATTAAAAACGTCCTTGGCAGGCAAAATCAATCATGGGCCAACTTCAACAAACTTAATATTCGGTTCTTGTAAAATTGTCAATTCACTGGAATGGTCAAAAATCAATCATGGGCCAATTTCAACAAACTTAATATTCAGTTCATGTGTAAAATTGTCAATTCACTGAAATTGTCAAAGATCTGGACTTCTCACTAGCATTTGTGAAATTACTGATTAATTGTTAATTGACTGTCAAAATTAAAAAATATGCCTCCAAGCTTCCAACTCTAACAATCTCTTGTAATTGTATCACTATCCTTCAAAATAGTGGCTTTTGCATGTAGTCATCTTGAAATTAAGTCCCTCCTTGTAATTCTATTTGCTAATGTTAGTATTTGCAGGCTCACTTGGCTGCTGTGGATGTCATTCCTCTATTCCTTGAAACAGCTCCCGACCTACTAATCCCTGACGAGGATTTAATGATTTCGTCCACTTCATCTTATGGAGAGGAGCAGAGTCAAACAAAATCTGCAGTTTGCATCCAGCACATTCCAACTGGCTTAAGAGTTCAATCCTCAGGTAATTAAACAACTATTCAGAACATTTTTGCAATTTTGAACCATATTATTTTAGCTTAGTTCTTTTATTATTCTACGTAATGTGTTTATATTTTCAAGGTCAAAGTATTTTAAGGCAAGAATAGTTTTAAAGACATGCACACACAAACACATCCGACAATGGTGCCATATCTCCATTTTGGAGTTGAATGGGCCGGTGCATAGAACAGTACATAAGGATGTGCAAGGAAGCAACTTGACATAAGAACAACTTTCTAGCAACCTTCTATACAAGTTCATTTAATTTTAACAATTCTAAGCTGTTTGGCGGTTTTGGCCATTATTCGGTATTGCTCCTTGTTTATATATATATGTCTGCTTAAATCTATCTGCTTTCAGATTTGAGTTTTACCATTGCACCAAGCAATGATTCCTAAAAAGATGCAGATTTCCAACCTTGAAACTTTAGTTGCAATAAAAAATATCACTTGTAGGTTGGGTGAGAAGCAGTTTTGAGGATACAGCGAAAACTAAATTGTTTCAAGCTTGCCTTCTGAGCTGAACCTATCCACTTTTGACTTGTTTCAAGCTTGTGTAATCACATCTCTTTTCTAAATTAGATAAGATCCAACTTTTGGATTCACCATACTCGTGTTCATTTCTTTTATTTTTCAGAAATTCTTCGTTCTTTATCCCCCGAATTTCCACAATAATTTATATCAGCTATAAGAGAAGATGCAAATTAAGTATTGCCCTTGTAGGTGAAAGGAGTCATTTTGCAAATAAGATGAAGGCGCTTAATCGATTGAAGGCCAAGCTTCTCATAGTTCTGAGGGACCAAGGAATTTCCAGTGTAAGGAACATCGATAGAGATGGCATTGTGGATATGTGGCACCAAGAGGCTCGAAGGTACGTGTTTCACCCATACAAGCTAGTACAAGATGTAAAAACTGGCATCCAATTGCCGGACTTGAACTCTGTTTTAGATGGAAACATTGAACCTCTAATTGCAGCTAATATTAATAGCAGACAGACATGTGAAATGGTCTGAAACCAGATTGCCTATGTTTATTTGTCCTCTTGCAGATAATATGTTATGTATTATATGATTTTGAAAATCAAAACATAAATCTGCACCTTGTGCCACCAGTTTATTGTAACTTCCATGATGAATCAATTTCATGATTATGAGCCACTGACTCCTGATATAGGATATCCACGACGAAAGGTGCCTAATGGTTTTCCTCTGATGTATGGCTCGCTTCTCCTTACCATAGATGAATTCAGACACCATTTGATAAAAGTTGTGTCTGGTTTATCTGTAGCACTCATGAGAAAGCTGTAACATATCAAAATTTTGTTTTATTGCTCTTATCAGCAACCAACTTTTTAGCTGCCTCAAACATTAACCATTCTAACCTTGAATTGTAAGTACGATGTTCATGAACTGCCGAAGAAAGAATTCTTTTTATTTTTTCGAGTTTCATGTTATTTAGATATGGAAAGATGATGGTTTGAATCTGTTTTAGTTGATTGCAGACTTGCAGTGCCACTTAAAAAATAGCTAATGGCACATTTTCGATTTGAAACATTTAAATCTTGTTAATAGGAAATATCATAACAAACTTCAAGCGCATTGCCACAAACCAATGTGTGAATTTTGCAGTCTATTTATTTGCCTTCAAACAGAGATACCACTTTTGGTATAACAAGTTAACAAGATTGTCAAGTTCATAGTGTCTAGACTTGTTATGACAAAAACAAGTCTGGATTTATTTTTAGGTTTATATATGAGCAACAAAAAAGTGAGCTAATGCAAACAATACTAAAGGAGTTTAATTCCATGATGAGTTATGAAAAATTTAGATCATAACTGATCTCTTAAAGTAAGGGACATCACAATGTTTGCTTGTGTTCATTGATTCTCACTTTCAAAGCAACATTTCAAGGAATGCAGAGGAAGCAAAGTAAATTTAGGATGTAATTTGTCACTTATTCAATTGTATGAGAGGTCAAATTTTGCATGTATATAGAAGATTTGAGTGTCAAAGATGTAGATATGTACTTACCCAACAAAAAAAGATGTAGATATTTATTGGAAGGTAAGAATTTGTTGTGGCCCTCTTATACCAAGAGGGTGGTAAGATATGAAAGCTTCTTGATGTATCTCTTTATCGAAGGTCTCTCTCTCTCTTACACACACACACAAAAACACACACGTATATATTGTGGCTTTCTTATAAGCCAAAGGGCCAAAGGGTGTGGTGGGTTAAAAGCTGTACATGTATGATGTATTTCTTGCAGTTGTAGACGGACTATTGCTGTTGGTGAGAGAGGGCCCAGTGGTTGGTAGAGGAGGTGGACGGTATGACTACCACCGAGATGATTTCATGGACCTTGCTTATCAAATGTCAAATAATGTGGGTAAAATGGTGTAGCTACATTTTTGCACAAAAATAGAGAGAAATCAAATAATTGTTTCTTTCCTTTACCTTTCACTTTAATGTGAAAAAACACACACCCACACACACTTGTGTGTGTGTGTATATATATATATATATAGAGAGAGAGAGAGAGAGAGAGAGAGAGCAATAACTCCTTTGGAAGTGAAGGACTGGCGAGAAGCTGAAGGCATCCAACAGTGGAAGTTGCACCCTCCGCTTTTTTGGAGAGAATCATTTTTATCGTTGTTATTTTATTTGGCATGAACTCACAGATAATCATAGTGGCAGCGTTTGTATAGTACTCTTTTGCTATTTTATTGTTACAACCGGAATGGGCAACTATTTTTGTTGTCCATGCTCTCTTCTTTATTCAACTCAACTAATTTTAACAAAATAATTTTATGAGATCATTTTATCAAAATAAAATAATTAATATCATTGATGACTTGATGATTTGAAGTGGGATTAAAACGGGTCATAGTGACTTTAATTATTTTAACTTTGAATATTTTGGTATTACATGATTTTTTTTTTTTTTACCATCAAACTTTATCCAACTTAAATCACACAATCATTCTAATTAAGTGTCGTTCTTACGTTTCGAGCGCGTTCCCAATCTCACGTTCCACGTGCACTATTGCTCAAATTTTCATAAACTGCTTAAATTTTCACTGTTTATGACTTCCGTTCTCACTTTATGCGACTTAGTACCCAACTTGATTTACTTAAAATAATAAAAAAAATAAAAGAGTTCTCATCCAACACCTCTACATATTACAATTTACTTCGAGATTTGAGGGATATTACCCAATTTTAAAGAATATTACTCCCTAGTTGTGTAATTTGGGTAGGTTGACAGTAAACTCAAAATTGAGTGCGAGTCTGTCTAATTCGAATCAAAATTGTTTTGATTTTTTAATAATAATAATGATATGTAGATAATTTTTGGCTGGGTCATGTATACCTTCAACATCAAGTAATTTTCATTCGCTGAAAAGAGAAAAAATGTTGTGGGCCCAAGAAACCCTAAAAATGGTATCTACGTGGAGGATGAATCACAACAGCCACAAGCAAAGGACATCATGTACTCCTATTTCAGACACATATACGCCGCACACAAACATAGAAAATGTATAAAGAGAGAGAGCGTTAACCACCCACTGGAAAAAGATAGAGAAGGCCGCTTTATTAAGCAGAGGAGAAGGGGAGTAAGGATAATGGTGTCTCTGCCAAGTTCTACGCTCCTCCGCCAATTCTAGTGTAAGTTACAAAATCTACTAGTCCAAGATTTTCTCTCATTTTCTCTCTCTCTATTCATATAACCCAGTATCTGTCTTTACATATACGCGTCTCTGTGTGTGTGTGTATATATATATATGCATGTGCGTGTAACGGAATGATGTGCTTACTGAGATATTCTCTCCTCAGAAAACTCAGTATCTCTTTATCTATATATACACGCGTGTGTGCATATATATATTTTGTATTTATGCTTTATGATCTATTAATGGTTTCTTTTTATTTACTATACCATGAGTGTCTTAATCCGCTTAATTCATATAATGTCTTTGCATTGAAGTATCAATTTATTATTATTATTATTATTTTTTGGAATGAAGTATCAAATTTTCTGAAGTGAAAATTATGTGTTTTTTTTCTTCTGCCCTTTTGTTCGCAACCTGTTTGATGAAAGAATCAGAGAACAGAAAAGAAAATGGTCAAAAATGTCATTTTAGTTTATTTTCTCTTATTTTATACAAGAGCCAAACAAGAGGGCAAGTTCACGTTGATACAGATTTTATGAAAGAATGGAGTTGAAGTTTCATGGTTTTTGGGAAAAGAAGAAGAAAAAAACAGAGTGCAATCTTAGAAACGTTATTTGTTCTTTGATATTTTAGGGACTGTTTTGGTGAGTTGGCAATATAATCATATGAAGTTACTAGAACATAATTGCGTTCCTTAGGGTGCTTAAATCTGTGTTGAGTGAATGTAGGTGATGAATAAAACCATCCTTAAAATAATATATAGACTGTTTAAGTGTATTGCATAAACACTGACAGTGGATTCAACTTTGTAAGAGAAGAAGTCAGAGCTAGTTTTAGGCCCCCAAGGCTTGAAAGCTCTTGATAAGGTGGGATATCTTATGGCCTAACATTTGTTTCCTACATTGTTGCTGAATGTTGTAAGACACATACAACTTGCTCCATGTTATAACAATTTGAGTCAAAGAAAAATAATTGAAAGTTGGGAGAGTTAAATGCGTCAAAACAGAAAAGGAAAAATTATGTGATTGTAAATGTGATGCAGCTCCACACGAACCAAAAGACTTCTATAAAGTGGGTGGAGAACTGTATGTGACTAGGTCTTATAACAACCAGACAATTAAGCATGTATGAATATTAGTAAACAAAGAATATTTAAATCACAGCCAAGTATATTGTCCATAAATTATTTAGCAAGAAAATCCTACACATTAGGCTTAAATCAAGCCACAAACTTTGATAGATTACTAAACTAGATACAAATTAGCTTGTGTAAGCAATCAAACAACACACGAGCCTAGGAAAGTGTGACAAGCTGCCCCAACATGCCTTGCAAGCTCCCAAATAATCTTACTAGATGGAAAAGATTTCGGAGAATGAGAGGGACAAGAATAAGATAGAGAAGAAAGCAGTGATGAAGAATGAGAACAATGAAAAAATTAGAAGAATTAGAGAGTAAAGGAAAGAGAAAGGAGAGGTGTAGGAAAGTTAGAGATGAAGATGATATGCTAATTGATGCAATCTATTTAATGGGCACTCTATTTGATGCTTAGTTGGGGATATAGAATTCTGTTTGATGTGTAGCCCACAAAAAATGACATGTTGATTGATATGTTTTGAGGATTAGCGGTGTTAGAAGTCTTTTGGATGATACTATTGTATTTCCATATTAAGAACTTTCTAGTGGTTTTAATGGTTGGAACTGTGGAATTTGAGTATTATTCTGTTACTATCTTGAACAGTGTTGGTTTAATTTTTTTTTTTTTTCCTGAGTTTTTAGGGTTTGGAACTTGGAAGAGCTTTGTGCTTTCTCTCTTTCCTTTCCTCTTCTCCTTTTCCCTTCTTTCATCTCTCTATTGTATGTCTCTTCTTTTATATTTGAGAAGAACCGAAGTCCCCTTTGCACCTCCCTCTTTTTCTGTTGTGAATGAGAGGCTTGGAAGATGCAATGCATCCCTCTTTTCTGTCTCCTTTCTTCTCGTTTTATGGATCATATGATTCATATGCTTGCCATGTGTTTGAAATTTTTTCCAAGAGACCTGGATTATGTCAGTTTAGAATAAGGGCCAAAGATCCATCAAAGTACAAGATACAAGATACTGCAATATTGGTTCAATCTTGAAGAATCAAAAACATAATATTGAGTTTTTTTTGTTTCAATTTATTTTTTAAAATTTTTTCCTGAAGAAAAAATTGATGCACTCTAATCGATGCATGGCCCATGAGAAAATGATGTATTAATTAATATATTTTGATGATTAGTTCTATTTGGAACTTTTTGGATACTATTGTTGTATTGTCATTTTTTAGAATAGAATCTGATTCTTGTTAGGTTATTGTGTTGGGTAGTATTTGTTTCAAAAGGTTTTTAGGGTTTATGATGCCTATACACGTGCTCAATTAGTGTAGAACATGATTAGCTTTAGTTCAATAAAATTCAAAGGAAATTGTTTTTGGAAGAGCTTTGAGCTCTCTATTCCTTCCCTTCTTCCTCTCAGCTCTCTCATCTCTTCTATCTTTATCTATCCTCTTAGATTTGAGAGGTGTGGAAGTTGCCACTTCGCCTCCCTCTATTGTTTTCTCTCTTATGTCCACCTTCTACTTTTGTAAATGAGAAGCTTGGACGATCTGATGTGCCCTTCATCTTACTGTCTTCTCCCTTTCTCCCTCTGTTCTCCTTTCATTCCTTCACTTCATGTGTATATCACTTTTCATATCCCCGTTACAGGTTCGAAGGAATTCTTTAGAGAGCCAGGCTACCATATTTGATGGAAGTTGAAGAATACAGACACATTCAGACTTTGTATTTGGTTTAACCTCACCTAATATTCCTTGTAATTTTGGGCCATTGTTGTATTTTTAAAATATTTCTAGCATCCTTATGGTGTCCACCATTTACCTATAAACATCGTTTGCTCAATGTGTTGATTGGAAGCCTATCTTGCAGGATTGGTCTCACTTAATACTCGTTCACACAAATAGTGATTTGAGGAAGGGAATACTAAGCATTTCACAATTCCATCAGAGGGACCGCCAACTATCCTCTAGAATAACATGGAAAGTTTCATGTTTGTCCGCTGGCCTAGATGTCCTCTATTCCATTGGTTTCATTAAGCTCCATTCCAGAGCAAACAGCAGGCGGAAAGGTATATCTGATTAATAAATTCACTTTTTGATGCTTTTTCCTTCTTGCTTTAGTGATTTCTCTTTATTGTTTATTTAAAATCAATTATGAACATGAGTATTTCGGTATTTCCGAAGATGTTACGAGTAGATAAGATTACTTGAAGTTATGGGGGTTATACCAATGTAATCAGTCAAATTTCAAAGAGCCAGTTGTGAGTGGGAACTGGAGTCCTTTGTTATGGTAAGTACAATTTGGCCTTAACCTTTTATCAATTGTATTAAATCCAAGACATCCCACACCAAATATCATACTGAATCTTGCCTTAATACTGTTGCCACTTGCCAACAACAAACTTGATGTATTTTAAGAACTCACTCTACCTCTATCTAATGTCCTTAGTCCTTAAGAGCCCAACCCCACACCATAGCTTTTATATCCTATCCCCAAAGTTCTTTGCCACCACCCTCCACAAGCTTTCAGGACTCCATATCACGTGGCATATCATGTCTCCGCAGTCATTTTTACCCAATAACATTTGGTTTAATTGCCGGAACATTTTTATTCTGACCCTTCCAGAGTACAATGGGGGAGTACACAGTCTTCCAGCTCACAAGATGGTATTTGAACCTCTCCCCCATTCCACTCCAAAAGAATCCTTCTGAATCTTTCCATCCTTTCAGCCACTACATGCAGAATGATGAAAATAGACACAGTATATAGGCAAGCCTAAATAAAGTTTTCTTGGTCTAAGTCGTCTATGCCATTTGATAGGTTTTTATCTTTCCACCCTGCCAATCTCCTTTCAAATCTGTCAATCATTGGATACCAGGACCAGGTTGCTTTAAGGATGCACCAATTGGAAATCCTAAATAGGAGGATGGCAGAGAACTTACCCTACATTCCAAATTCTCAGCCAATCCAAGAACATACACTGCCTCCCGACTAGATTAATCTCACACTTCGCCAAGATAGATCATTATTCATGACATTGCCTCAAAGCACATGGAAACATGTTGAAGATATTTTAGCTAGACCTCTTATACCTACAAAAAGTAATAATATCCTCCGCAAAGAGGAGATTAGAGACTACTAAAGGACTCCCCTCCATATTATTGAAATCAAACCTCTAAGAAATTAGAGAAGGAGACGGAGAACATAGAAGATATATCCTGATAGACATTATTTTGAAATGGAGATCTCCTTTCCTGGCTTTGCAGCCTTTTCCTTTTTCATTATATATTCTGCTTTGTTATATTGTTTTCCTTTGCCATTTTTCATTATGCTTGTTTCTAGATATGCATTATACTGGGTTAGTCTATCAGGTTCATCATTATTTCACTGATTATAAGGTTCAGGTCCGTCATCTGGATGAAGCTCCACGTATTCTGTCCGTCTATAATTGTTAAAACTTTATGTCTTTATCAGTGCACAAAGTGTAGGATTTATGATATTTTATAAGCTATTATTCATTTTAATACTGAGTGCAGATCAATGTTGTCTCCGAACTTCTTTGTTGGCTTAATGTTTCAGGGTTTTGTTATACAAAGATGCCATCTCAAGTCATGGAAAAAATGGGACGCAGTTTGGTTATCAAAGAGAACTCACAAGATTTGCCTCTTTCATCTGCGTATGAAACTGCCATGGAAGCACTTTCCTCTCTCATTACTCTCCAAAAACGCGGAGATAGGTCAGCTATAGGTGGTAAATACAAGAAATTGGATAGGATGTTGATGTATATTAAGGTAATGTTGCTAAAATCTGTCAATTTCTTAGAAAAAAAATTCATGATTGAGAAATCAATACATTCAGATTTTATTTTTTTATTTTTTCTTGTATTCACATTTTTGTTAAAGTATAATTAGTAACACATGCATGAATTTCCACCTTGGTTTTGCAATAGACCTACCTTAATGTTCAAAGCCATAAAAGTAATCCGGGTAGTATGACACTAGTTCTATCTCTCTCTGAAATAATGTCATTTTGAAAATGGGAGCATTTGCATACAGGGATCTATAAATGTCTACGTGGGGGGGATTTAGTAAAATAAGGACAATTTAACCTAGTACTATGAAATCAAAATTGAATATTTATTTAGGCATTACTCAATTTTGGAAGACTCAGAACAAGCCTAACATTTTTATTTGACAAAGTGATTGCTCTGTGGTACGAGACTAGTATGACACTAGTTCTATCTCTCTCTGAAATAATGTCATTTTGAAAATGGGAGCATTTGCATACAGGGATCTATAAATGTCTACGTGGGGGGGATTTAGTAAAATAAGGACAATTTAACCTAGTACTATGAAATCAAAATTGAATATATATTTAGGCATTACTCAATTTTGGAAGACTCAGAACAAACCTAACATTTTTATTTGACAAAGTGATTGCTCTGTGGTACGAACTTGCACCAATTGAAGGGTAGCCTAGGAATTGAATGTGCTCCTTTTTTTACTGTTCCTAACCGAAATTATTGATGCTTGTATGTTGTTAAGAATTCTCCTAAACTCCATCCTGAGTTTACAGTCCATCTTAGAAATCCCAACTTTCTAAGAAGACAAACATGTAATGAGTTAACATTCTAGTGAGAACTACAAATTTCTAAAACTAATTCTGTTTTCATGTTAGGTTATACACTCGTATCCAATTGTAATGGGTTAATCTGGAAAAGTTTCTGCAATCTCTATTTCAAAGTGGACATATATTGTGGGACATCTAGAAAAGAAAAAAATGATCTGTTTTTTGGGACAGTGGGTGTACCATGTACATATTTTTCAAGACACCCAATTCTATAACAATTTTTGATCTGATATACTCTTTTTGTATGGTAATAGTATACTAGTGTCAATTTTCATTTTCAAATGGGTAAGTACTGAGCTGTCATGCTTCATTCATTGTACATATTAAAGATTCATGGAGTGGTAATCATTTAATTTCTGTGGAAGTGCTTGTTCCTGCTAATAGAAGCGGATGGTATGCCTTCACATTGAATTGTTGTCAATAGAATTTCTCAAGTACATGAAAGCAGAATTTCCTGGAAGTGAGAAACAGAATGCATATTTTCCTTACAGATTTTAGGCTTGGAGGAGCATATAGCTAGCCTTAAAATCATCCATGTTGCCGGAACTAAAGGAAAGGTACTTTCTCTCTTTAAGTGTATTATTTCATATTCTTAATGAGTCAAATAGGTTTAGATTGTTCTCAGAACCGTCATAAGAAGTCTGCTTGTTCTTGTTTTACAATTTGTATGTAACTTTTGTGATTAATATGTACAATCAATATCCTTTGTAATGAGAAAACCGATGAGTGTGCTGGTGTCTAACACTGACACAAGGTTTCTGACTTGGAAACCTCTAAAAACTGAAACACAACTTTGTGGACAGTGGACACAGAGATAGACGCAGGTGTAGTTGTCAAAAAGAAAAAGATATGGTAGATTGGAACTTCTCATTCTCCGTAATTATAGTTGATCCTCCAATGAATGATAATCACGGGAGAAAAATATATAAACTATCTATTACCCATTATGGTCCTTATTGATTGAAGGTTCTGGAGGGCAGGTTGGTACATACTAATATTTGGCATTATCTGCACAAAATGACATCTCTTAAACTCAAACCTGCTTTCAAGGCCTTTAAGCCCCAATTTATCACTGCACCAAGCAATAGCACTTCGGACATAAAATATGTCAATGGAATCATTAGATATTAATTTCTACCTTCAGCTTTCATGAATAAAAAACTCAAATATACGTTGTGATGACAAATTATGGATATCTTTCCAAGTAGATGCCTAAACTGCAACGACCCTTAAAAAGGAGTGGGGGAGGGGAGGAAGTTAACGTTAATATTGAAAATTTAGATTAATTAATTACGTAAGATTTCTTATATAAATTGAACTAGGACTCCTTTTATAACTTAGTACATGTAAGAATTTTCTATTGTATTAAGTTCTTGCACATGATACGGTAGAGAAAAAAGGAGAGAAAGGAGAGAGCTGAAGAAATTGGATGATCAACCAGATTAATGGTGCACCCTGGCGAAAATTTAAGAACACAATGGGCAAGTTGATCTTGATTTATATTTTTATACAAATTTGTAATTAGTACCTTTGGATGATATGGATTTGTTGTTATGGACTTTTCTAATCTAGATGCCCCAAACTTTGTTAATTTCAGCATGAAAGTTTTGTAGATTTAATAGATTAAAACTAGTGAATATATTTCCCAAGCTCTTTGTTTTTCTTATTGAAATCATATTTCAGGGTTCAACATGTACATTCTGTGAGGCAATTTTGCGGGAGAGTGGTTTTAAAACTGGACTCTTCACTTCTCCTCACTTAATTGATGTGAGAGAGAGATTCCGGCTAAACGGGTCAGTATCCAAATGCATCACCTTCTATCAACTGCATGGCTATTGTTTCCTTCTCTCAACTCACACACAAACACACATGCAACCCATGAGAGTTTGAAAAATAAATATAGGGGATGCATAAGGTAAGTTTTGACAAAGACAACCCAGAGGTTTTATGGTTGATTTGAATGTTGTCATCCTTTTTGTTATTCTAATATGTATCTTTGAACTGGTTGTGTAGGTTGGACATATGCGAAGATAAATTTTTACTGTATTTTTGGGATTGTTGGAACCAATTGAAGGTACTCTTTCATGCATGTCTTTGATTTTTAGACGGGACAAACTTCATTTTTAAGGATATGCTTTTCCAAACTTTTAATGCTGCCCTTGTTACTTGCTTATGTGTAAATCATGTTTTTTTAAGAACTGAATTTTTAGATATGTCATCTCCATAGCATTCTTGGGTAGAGATTAGTAGATAGGCTCCTTTTGGAAGTCAGTAGTTTATCTATAGAGTATCTGTGTATAGCAAATTTCTTGTTTTCATTTCCTATAGGTTGCTATTATCACTGGTAATTTGGTGTTGCTCTTGCTTCTTCCTTTTTCCTTTACTAGGTCTGGCAACATGCAGCCATCATGAATATAGTTTTTTCTTTTGTTAATTCAAACAATATATATGACATCCATGATATATTGTCAAAAGAAACAACATTTGTGGATGAGCTTGCCTCTTCAGATGAAATGGTCAATAAATTTTGAGAATTCCTAGCATTGGTCATTTGTTGTTATTAGTATTCAGATTATTTGCATCTCATTTCTTCATGTTGGTATTTATTTTTGTTTTAAAAAAATTAACAGACAATAAAATTTGATGGGAACAAAGTCATATCCTTTCAGGTAGAAAGGTAGTCTTTACCCCGACTTCTGCAAATCAGATCTGTTCTGATGCATGAAGCACCTTTCTTCAGTGTGATGGCTGCTTGATAGTAATAATCTTACTATGGAAATTCCTTGATAATGGAAGTTTCAAATTTACAGGAAAAGGTTTCAGAGGACTTACCAATGCCTCCACTGTTCCAGTTCCTTACTATATTGGCGTTCAAAATATTTATATATGAAAAGGTCAGTTCTCATTTTTACTATTGCCGTCAAAGCTTATTAATTTTTCTGAAACTCTGCTTAATTGGTTAGATAGATGTCAATGGTGCTTTGGTCATTTAACCCTCATTAAACTATTTTATTTAAGATCTAGGTAGACTGAATTTCATTTCGTTTGGAAGAAGTTATCAACTTTGCTGTTGTATTTTTCAGAGCTCTGTTTGTTAACTAAAATTAATTGCCTAAAGCTTAGCATAACAACCTCCCCTATGAAGAATTTTAACATTTATCTTAAATTGAGAACTGTTACTCATCATTAGTAGATTGCAGTCAAAGCTATTTGATTTCTAGTTCAATTGCAATCTAAATTCAAGCAAATAGTAAATTTAAAGAACAATTGTTTTTATCTTTTATTTATTTTTTTGAAATGATTTCCTAAAGTTTCTTGGAAGTGAACTTGTTATAAATGTTAACTTCTCTTAAATGAAATAAACTCCTTTTACGTTTTAAAATTTGGGGTGTGGGATATCCTTAAGAGTTGAAATTGTTCCATAGATTTGCATTTTCTTCATTAGAAGTCGAAGCGCATTTGGGCGATGGTTTCTCGATCAACTATCTTACATAAAGAAGCATGTCAACCACTATCTACTCTAAAATCTTAATCCTTTTAACATGTCCCTTCACGTGTATAAATCCTAACGCGTGGACTTCTTTTGTTCCCACACTTGTTTCGATTTTAATTATCAGGGTAAGTTGTTACCTTAAAAGCAAGGAGGGTGAAGCCGAAGGTAGGGCTAGTCACTGCAGTGAAGTCGTAACAAGGTAGCCATAGTGGAAGGTGCGGCTGGATCATCTCCTTTTCAGTGAGAGCTAATGCTTGTTGGGAATAGTGAGGTTTGAACTCTAGACCTTTTGGCTATAGTACCATGTTAACCACCATCTCTTTAAGAGCTCAAGCTATTAATGTGTAACTTTAATATTTATATCCTTTAAAATGCCTCCTCATGTGTGTATATCCTCTAACAAGGCCACTACCATATCATCTACAATATTGTCTTAAGAGTTAGTTTTCAAATATTCCATAGTGTACCTTAGCCCTTTCTCACAACAATATAGATTCAAGTAAGCCCTTGTATTTACCGAAAAAAAGTAAGCCCATGCAGCATGTATAGGCCCATGGAGTGTGCAAGCCCACCTCCTATGTTATGAAACTCCCATATCTTAGAACCTGTTTTTAACATGGTTTTAAAACTCATTGGGATTCGGCTGCTATCTCAACCGATTGGCACAACTTGGCCGCAATGGACGCAACAGTACTTTTTGGCCACCCAGCTATTATTTTTTCAAATTTTCTCATTTATTTCTTTGAATGAGTTTTTGAACCTCTAAACAACCTCCAAAGTCCAAACACATCAAACCACTTAAATCTACAACTTCAAATGGGAAAAGAACACGGATTTAACCATAAATCTCCTATAAAAGCTTTTTAATGTTGCAAATGATTGGTAGGATTGTAATTGGGTTTTTCTTTTTCTTTTTTTCCCAGCTAATTCTAACATGTTATGTTAGATCTGACATACATGTTCGTGACTCTTGTTACAAATTTCCCATTTGTCCTTTTTTGGTGTGAAATTTGCTCAACGTAATACAAATTTCCCATCTATCATTTTTCTAATTTTTTTTTTTTTGAAGAGAATAAGTGATTTACATTTATAAAGTATGTAAATCATTTATATAATTTTTGTTTTATGTAGTTTGTAAAAATGATCTACTGTTTGATTTTCAGATTTTTTTGTTTTTTGTTTTTTTTTTTTTTTTCCATTATATATATATATATATATTTTCAACCTATTTATTTAAATGTTTTGTTTTAAACTACATATATGTGTGTTATACATAAATACTTCATTTTATACATATATTAGTCTACATTAATCTGTTTTCGTAGAAAATTACATAACAAAGTGAGTTTAAAAAATTGAAAAATCCTTAAAATTTACAAAAATTGAGAAATGTAAAAGAATAAGAAATAAGTAAATACTTGATAATACACATATCTTAGTGATGCAGGACGGGTAGGGCTACTCTTATGTCAATATTCAAAAATATCAAAAGCTTTCTACTCAATGTCACAAGACACATATATACAAGCATCAAATGGAACCCTAATCAAACTCTACTACCAAAATTAAAACCCTAAAGTCATTAGGAAAATAAAATATAAAATAAATCCCAATTCGGTGGTTTCTAATAAGATCTCAACAGAGGTGTCTAAATTCTGGCGAGCCTCCTACATTACTAACCCAGAGCTGTAGCAGGTATGCCAATCTTGGGGTTTTAGGATTTAACAATGCAGTGATGCTTTATAAGTTCCTCAGTGACATGTTCTTGCTACACTCAAATCCAAGTGTTTTCCTTTGGGTGCCTGTCCAGCAGAACAAAAACAAAATCCTTAAATTTGGTTCATGAAGTCAGTGGTTGCTGGACGTAACAGTTTTTTCTTCTGTTAGAAGCTTCATGAATCAAGTCCAAGAGGAACCATAAGATTCCAGAAATCAAGAAATTTCTCTTGTCTCGGTTATTACCTAATTTTCAATTTTCTGATTAGTGAATTGATTGTGCAGAATAAGGCACTAATCAGAAAGCTCTAGTCTGGATCGAATACTTGCAGTAGTCATAAAATAGTTGTTTCTGATTTGTACTGTTGTGGTCAATATATATTCGAAAGTGATATAGAATCTTCTTTCTTTTTTTTCATGGTAAGAAAAAAGTGGGAAGTACGATATTTACTTAAAACCCAAACATGCCGAAACAGATATCTGTCCTGTACAGTTGGACAAGGTTTTGAGATGGATCATGTTATCATTGCATCTTTGACAGTGGATGAGTCGAAATTTGCTTCATTGTCTGCTCATGTTCATTGTTGAGCATTTTTAGTCTTCGTAAGTACTCCTATGACATTCATGTTCTCAAAATCTTGTCCATTGTTTCAGTCTTAAAGCAACACACTTACACATATGTATTAGCAATTCCCTTATATAATTATTTATCATCTAGAAAATTAATAGATTTTTACTTTTAGATATTGAGTCATGTGATGACAATTTACTACCCAAAAGGATTGTAAGATTGAACAAAATATCTAGAGTCCTTTGTTTACAACCATATAAGATATTGAAGATTAAGAACAATGAAGAACAACACATCAATATTATCATTAATCTCAATCAGAAAAGTAGGAAAAGGTGAAGTTAGACACTAGCAGATGTAGGAATAATTTATTAGATAGATTGAAAATCGGATCTAGATTTGATCTATAAAAAGGCTCAAAAGAAAGTTAAACATGTTATTCAAATGTTTGATCAATCGAACTTTTGGAGGATCAATCGAACTTTTGAACAGAAAAAGTTGTAAAACAATGAGCTTTGATTGAACAACACCGGTAAGCTTCAATGGATCGCTCAACTGAAAATTTCTTCACTTGATCGATTGGGACAGTTTATTTGGAAACTTGCAAAAATCATAATTTTTAATTGTTTTAACTTTCATATTTCATGTAGGACTTCTACATTAGCTATGAATATGGGGTTAAAGTCAATTTAGGGTTTCTTTTTAACCTCTATATATATTATTGAGAGAATTTATACTTTTAGAGAGAAGCTTTGAGAATCAATTTAAGGTTTTCACAGAGTTCTATATTTTATGTGATTGAATAGTTCAAAGTAAGAAGCACAGAAGAGATTACTCTCTAACCAAACAACTGGGTGATTTTGGGGAAAACAAGGATTTGAACAAACCATGGAGATCAAGCTTGTGGATGATCAAGTTTGTTGACTGGCATGACAGAATCCGAGGAGGATCACCTAGCGTGGTCAGATGTAACTAGGGGATTTTTGGGGTTAGAATCTGGCAACTTAGTTGTGTATCTAGGTTTAAAAGTTCCATAGTTTTTTCCTTTCTAGGGTTTTCACATGAAATATTGTGGATCTCCTCTTTACATTATTTTTACTGTTTTCTGTGTTTATGATATTGATTGAGACAAGTGGTGGCTAATTAAACTGAAAAGTGGACAAAAATTAAGTGAAATTTTATAATTAGTTCGCAGTATCCATAAGACCTATTCAAACCCCCTCTAGTCTAATTTGAAGCAGCCAAGGGTGCCGGTCCATCCCCTCATGTACTTGCACTTGCTACGGTATTGGCTCCTTGTTTTCAACTTCTATAAAGAAATATTTTGTTTAATTCTATATTATTGTTTCTTTATTTGTTTACCGTATTATGATACATCTGCGACTAAATGTAGTTTTTATTTGATAGGTAGATGTTGCTATTATTGAGGTTGGTCTTGGAGGGGAAAACGACTCAACAAATGTGGTATGCATCTTCCCATAGAACCTACATTGGCTTGGAATAAATTGTAGAAATTGACCGTAGAATGATGTCCATGGCATGAGATTTAATCAAAATTTTGTCAGATTGAGGAACCTGTTGCCTGTGGGATTACGTCTTTGGGTATGGATCACATGGAAGTGTTGGGTGCGTTCTCTTCTGAACATCTCACATCCTTTTCAATAACCTCTCTGTTTTTTGTTGATAAAACAGTTTTTCTCAATCTTCATTTGTACATATTTCTCTGGGCATGCTTTATAAGTTGGTAAACTTGCATTTGACTGTTCCCATCTTCTTCTTCTTCTTTATTATTTTTTATTTTTGTGTGTGTTACTTTTCCAATTTTCTATCCCTTTCTTTCTGCAATTGGAATTGTATAGTTGAGGAAAACATAGCAAGAGGTGTTCACATGTTTGAACTGGAGTGTATATTTGCATAATATGCAGGGAATACCCTTGAACAGATTGCTTCTCACAAGGCTGGAATATTCAAGGTATAATGATCTTATGTATACTTATACTAACATGAATCTGGTTTTCCTTAATAATGGATGATTTATTGTAAAAATGTATTTTGATTATCTGGGTTGGCAGTTTTCATTTCAAGTTTTTTTCTGAATTGGGTTGATGTCTTCCCTGCTCCTAAAGCCTCACATTCCTGCGTTTACGGTGCCCCAACTTGCTGAAGCAATGGTTGTTCTTCAGGAGAAGGCTGGTGAACTGATGGTAATGTTTCCTTGGTTTCTCTTTTTCTAGGATAGATCATGTTGGAAACCTGTTATCATGATCATGTCTTCCATTTGGTTTATTTTTCACTTCTTTAAAAATATTTCCAAATGGGACATGATGCTGTGTTTTTAATTTTTTTAAATTGAGAAACACCGTATGCAAGAGATCCGTAGTCAATGCCTTGTCCTGAAAAGGACAGTGGATAGAAGTTATCTTTTTGCTAGACAGACTCAATAGTGGACTAAAATCTAATCCAATGTGATAGTATGCTACCAAGAAAGGCTCCTGCTCTGTCCTTGACCATACCTACATCTTTTTCTCACTTTGGTTCTATTCCAATGTAGATATCTCTTTGACCCTGTCACTGCCTTTCTCCAACCTCTTATCACAACAAGAACGAGCAAGACGGGAGCAACAACTTCATACCTCCACCTATGTTACATGTGACTCTTCAAAAGTAGTTGAAATACCCGTGTCGGACACACTATACTCAGACATCGGTATGGGATATGTGTCTGACCCTTTGGTTGGACAACACCTAAAAGGCATATCCAATTATTCAATTTTATGATCTATCGATTCAAAATGAGTGAAATGCCTTTATTAAACACTATGTATCATAAAGAAAAAATATTATTCTATAAAATTAAATATTTTTTTTTTAGGTAATATGATTATTTAGTGGTGTCCCTTTGTCCTTTTGTTTGGAGATTTGATATATTTGTCTCTTGGATACATACCCGCACCCAACACATGCACCCGAGTCCAGGTGACATAGACCTCCACTAAAGGGAAAATGAAAAAGAGAAGATTGAAAAGGAAGAGTTTAAGATTTAATCAATAACTATAAAGAAAACTATTTGGCAAGAATTGAAGAATTTCTTCTTCTCCTTGCAAGAGATTTTAGAAGTTATTAGTTCTTGTGAAATTTTGTCCATCGAAACCATTGTTGGTGCAGAAAATGTGCATCTTTAGGTTTGATTTGTACAAAAAGGGCCTGCCAATGGAGAGTTTAAGAAGAGTGGGTTAGGTACCATTCTACATTTGATCTTTGCCGCTATTTGTAAAATTTAGCAGTCTTTAGATTCGAACAAGTGTTCCTCATGCTTGACAGCTTGAAACTGTCAATTCATTTTCTCTACCACTTCAAATCGGTTGCCAAGCAAAAGTTAGTGTCTTTATTTTTTACACAAATACTTTTGTAGGCCTCCAGAAAATAAGAATACATTAAAACTTATCTTATCGTTCTCCTTAACTTTCTTAACCTCAAATGCAATGATTATTTTCAGCGTGGTCACATAAATTGCCAAAGCTCTGACTCTAGCTGATAAATTCAACAAAACCTCACAACACCTCGGAACAACCCTTGAGCCTTTTCTCTCAACAAAGTCTTTTTCCAATTATTGATACAAAGTCTTTTTCCAATTATTGGTATCAACTACGAAAACTTGAATCTCCATTCCATCCTATCTAGGTCATAACCTAAAAAACTGAACTCTGAAATTTTAGCCAGCTTAACTTTTGTCAGGACCATATGATTATGAATCCAAAGAATATAAGAGTAAACACTAGGGCGTTCCTTTGAACAATGCGTTGCATTTGCTTCTGGATGTTTCAAAAATGGGCAAGTGGTGTCGTATTGGTGCTCAATTGTGATGAAAAGTGTTCATCTGCTCACCCTACACTTGGTGCAGGTATCCATCCTTCTTTCCAAACTTGCCTCTACTCGATTTAATTGTTCATCTGCTCCCAAAAGTGTCATCTCAATAAGGACCGGGTTAGTTTGGGTGTTTCTCCTGATAGTTTGGTTAACTTGTGATCCCTAACTGATTTGAATTGATTTAATCACGATTCTCTATATAGATGCATAAATTCACAAGATTGTGCATATACATATCTGTGTTGTATTATTTTTAGATTAAGATGCAGTTAGACTGCAGCTGGTAGATCCAAAGATGTGAAAATGATCCAAATTAATATACGCATTACACAATAAAAAAAATATTTTAAGTCTGAAGATAGTCACTAGCTTAGTGTATTCGTTCCTAAAGGGAGACCTTGTTGCTTACTTGCTATATCTCTGCATCCTGCATGGAACAGCTCGTTCTTCGAGTCCTACATAGAAGAATTGTCAATTGATCTCTTTGTAATTTTTTCAGGTTCCTGTGGAAGTGGCAGCACCACTTGACTGTAAAAAGTTGGGTGGAGTAAAGCTAAGCTTGTCTGGTGACCACCAGTTAAGCAATGCTGGTCTTGCTGTTTCCCTTTGTAAAAGTTGGCTTCGAAGTACAGGAAACTGGGAAAAGCTATTCCAAAATGTTAGTTGAACTCCATACACCCTTAATTATTCTTTATTCTTTTCATGAAAACTATAGTTATTACATCATCATATTTGAAATCATGGTAACCTTCGTTTTTTTCCTTTGAGAATGATGGAAAATTGGAAAGCGGCTAAAAAATGACTATAGTACTTGGAATAGTAACAGTATCATGTTTATATTTACACAGTTACACACACTCTAGCATGCTTGCCTGTACATGCCTATCATGCCTGTGCATGTGTTAGAGATAGCGAGAATGAATAGGGAGATTTAAAGACTATGGCACTGCACAGGAGGAAGAAGGGACTGGTAGGCAATTGTAAAAAGAATTTCATAGCTACATTAGAGGGGAGATAATTGTAATGCTAGCAAATGGGTGAAAGAATGGATTCTTGAACAGAGTCTTTCACAAGAGGACTGATTCCTTAGACTGTGGAGAGTAATCCTTTTAATGTTGTCAATTAGATCTCTTATAGGCTTACAGGTTCTTGGAGATTAGTTTATGTGATCAGAGAGATTGTGGGCCTATTTAGAGATGGAGATTCTTTTTTCTTAGATTCTTAGGAGGATGTTTAAATCAAAGGCCAATTCTTAGCCAAGAGGGTGCCATTTCTAGAGACTCTTTCCAAGAAGATGTTTTGCCAAGATAACTTTGTATTTTGAATTTTCTTTTTAGAGATCTCTTCCTTGCTTTACATAACCTCTCTATTGAATTATTTTCCTGATTTCTATCAAGAAAATTAAAAAGCGCGCGCACACAAAAAAAAAAAAGAGTTTTTTGCTCTACAATGGATCTTAAATTGAGTATATATGAAAATTGATTGGTATGTCAAAAGAGGAACGACATCTTAAGGAATACCATTTGGGATTTGCATGAATCCATGAACTGAGGATTTCCTTCATTCATATCCGTAATTATTCTATGGATTTCTTGTTTTATAAGTATTGGCAATTTCAGAGAGAACCTCATTTACTTTCCCTTTTTTTATTTTTTGTCCTAACAAAAGATCGCTATTTTAAATTGGAATGGGGATAGTTTAAGGTTAAGGTATGTTCTATTTGTCTTGCTATTGGTGCATTTAACTGCTCAGATTTTTTAATATAGAATCAGGATAGCCAAGAAGACGACGATTTGCCAGAGGCTTTTGTAAGAGGTCTTTCAACTGCACACCTTTCTGGAAGGGCTCAGATTGTTCATGATTCTTCTCTAAAGACTCACAGTTCATTAGAAGTCAGGAAAAATTCTTCTGGAGATTTGATCTTCTACTTGGACGGAGCTCACAGTCCTGAGAGCATGGAGGCTTGTGCCAAATGGTTCTCTGATGCTGTGAAAGGACATAAGAATCCATCACCTTCACTTTCTTCTTCTAAGGTTGGAAATGTGGAGGAATATTGGGGGAATGGTTACACCAAACATACCAAGGAAAAGGAATCATACAAAATATTCCGGAAGGTAAAATCCTCAAAAAACAGTGAAATGCAGTGTTTTTTAATTCTTTTTTGGGTAAATTACACTCACACCCCTTGAGGTTTGCCCTTGTTACAAACGGTGGTTAAGATTGGGCCTAATTACACCATCCTCCCCTGAGGTTCCACACTCGATTACAACCACCCCCCTGACGTTAACTTTCCGTTAGAACTGTCAGAAAATTTTGGCAGATTTGCCCTTTCCAATTCTGAAAAGACGTACATAGCCTTCTAATATTCGCAAAACTACAGTTGTACTCAAGTTTCATTGGCGGATTTGCCCTTCCCCTTCTCCAAAACAATATACCATGTGTTATACATTTATATTACATTTTCTAAATTTACATTTCTTTATGTTATATATATATATACAGTTATCAAAAAATAGGAGTGTATATATATATATATATATATATATATATATATATATATAATTATAATATTCAGATCAAGATTTACATTAATTTTTTTATATTAATTATATTTTTCTAATTTTCTAATTTATAAATAATTTTTCAAATTTTCTAATTCATAAATAATTTTTCAAATTTTACAAAATTAATTTTAAATATTCATCTGATTAACTTTACATATATTTCTCAATTTCTCAAACCTTCCTGGGTGTACAATTGCATCAACATAATATGTTGATTACAGTTCTCTAGCTGGTAGCTAGTCTATAGTCTATACATATGACCCAAGTAACACTAAATCTTCAGAAACTCACTAGACTCCCACCAATGGATGACTCTTCAGTCCAAGCACAAGTCAAATACCGAGTCTATCTTCATCTATGTCACTCCATTCCCTTAGTTCATCTCTTTGTGGCTTCAGTAATCTCCCAGAAACATATTCGCAGCATCCAGACTCAGGAAAATATGCCGGCTTGAGGAAGATCTGAGGCAACGAATCAAAGCTGAATTGCCTTTCACCTCCAAACTCCCCAGAACAATCACAACGAAAATATGTATCAAGTGCATGACTCCTTCATTTTTATACAGATTATGTTGTATGCAAGTCAAGAAATAAAAAGTTGAAGCCCTAATATGAGATAAAGGGGAGAGAGGCGATTTATATTTAAAGGATAAAAGAGTCATTTACAGTACAAGAAAATTTTATTTTATTTTAATCTTATAAACTGAAGGGCATAAATAACATGTAAGGTGAATTTTAACATCTGTTAGCTATCTAACTCCAATTAGTGTGGTCAGTGTAATAAAGATCAATCTTGACTACCCTTTGTAATAAGGGCAAACCATAGGGGGTGTGAGTGTAATTTACCCTTATTTTTTGCTAGAATGCAATATTTCAGTTGATATCTGTTTCATGGTTTCCATCGTAAGAATATATTAATCCTGTTATCATGTCTCCTTATGGTTATAGATGTTTTATCTCGCTCCTATACCATTTGTATTGTTTAGATGACATGACGCCTCATATATAGAGTACATACTTTGCAGATTCTTTTATTTAATTGCATGGAGATAAGAGACCCTCAAATTCTTCTCCCACGGCTTGTGAATACATGTGCTTCTTCAGGTACTGCTGCTTATAACACAAATGACTTGCCAGGCTGTGATTTTACTCTCTTAAAAAGATCATCTGTCTCTTACATATTCTTCCTTAAAAAGGTCATCTCTCTTAACATCTTCACCTCGGAAAAGATGTAACATATCTATATGTTGTTGGCTAGTGGCTACACAACTCTTGTTCCCACCATTTCATTCTGTCCAGAATCATATATTTTGCTAAAGCCATTGGTGAACTTCTTGTTTCTCACAACCTTAAGTCCATACATCCTTTTTGGTGTTTACCATGTTCTTCCAGTGCCTAGAACCTGGACCAAGCTAGTTCATCCCATGTTGAAGTCATCCTTGTCATTATGGCCAAAACATCTTAATTAATATTCTTTCATCTTCTTTGCAACTTAACTGGGTGATTCTTACTATGGTTGGTCAGAAAAAGAAAAGAAAATTGTTCTGGTAAATGCCTTACAGAAGTATAGGCTTAGTGGGGTTTTTTTGGGGAACCCCAAGAATTAAACAGCTTTGTGTAATGTGGTGTGGTCTTGTCCTGGTTTGTAAGTGTTCCTGTATGGAGTTCGATATCTGTTCGAGTGTTCAGTAAATATTATTGCAGACACTCCATTTAAGTTTTTGTTAGCTTTTACAGTAACCTGAAAACATCTGAGCAATGGACTAGAGATGACATAAGGCCTTAAACAGTTGGTAGCAGAATAACAAATTCAGCAAATGAGAAAGAAGTTTAAGAAAAAGAGGGAAAAAGTGCATAGACGAGATTTACACTCATCCTTTGACTAAGAAAAATCATATGGTCTACTCTAAGCTCGTTTTACATCAAGAATTTCTATTTATATATCACATTACCACCCAACATTCTAAAAAAATTCCCACTTATTGTTTTAACCAGATAGGACTCAAGTTCTAAAAAAATGTAGTTCCTAGGCTAATAATGGGGTGGAAAGCAAACCAAGGAAAGAGATCATACTTAAATAACTCTTAGAATGACTCAGATAGCCCAACAAGGAATATGAAATAGCAAAAAGAATCCAAGTACATAACGTAGACACCAAACATTCTAATCCATAAAACCACTAATATATCACAATACCGATGACATTTGATTCTTATAAACTTGTCACATCTTTTTTGTTGCTTCTGCATCAATAGTGGTCCATGTCTTGAAATTTACAGTCAGCCTCCTCGGTTTTTTTTTTTTTTTTTTCCCCTGAAGTTTTCTTTTTGTATTTATTTTTAACTTTTTGCCTTTTTTATTTTTATATCATTTAACGGAGCACTGATAAGTAAAACACTTGATTTTAACTTGCTCAGGCACTCATTTCTCCAAAGCGATTTTCGTCCCAAGTATGTCGACATATAACAAGGTTACTTCTGGTGCCTCAGTCATTCCTTTGGATAATTTTGTTAGGGACTTGTCATGGCAATTCAACCTCCAGAGGATATGGGAGAAGATAATTCATGGTAAAGGTAATTCTCTCCAATTCATTGCTTACTGAAAAGCTTTAATATTTTATTGGTCATTTTTTGCCAACTGTCGCTCCCTGTTTTTTCTATATACTAGACATTACTAACTTAGTAACTTTCTGGTGTTCATACATTGATAGCCCATAGTTTGGTAAATATTTTTACCTTTCTAATCGTTGCATTACTGAGACAATACTGCAATTGGTTCTGTCCTGTATATCATCACCCAAAGCCAAAGTTTATAATTGATCAAGATTTTTGTTGAAAACTTTAAAGCCCAATGAGATGAACTCTGTTTTTAATACCTATCATTTGACGGCTCATTGAATATTTTTTTGAATTTTTCTGTCATATGTGCTTAATTCACATAGGTCCTTTGTTCACCTGTTCGAGTGAATTTTATATTTCCCAACCTCACATCGAGAAATAACAGATGATAGGTTATTGGTATAGAGGCTCCCTTTGAGCATATCTCAATTTGATAAAATATTTGTTACCTGTCCGCATTATGAGAAAGCGATCTTGGAAAAGAGTTGACCAGTGAACTGAATTTGTTTTTGAATAATCCTTTAATCTTCGGGTCAGGTTGAGCTTACATTTGGGAATATAACTCTTTTGTTCAAGGTTTTTACCTCTGATCTGACCAGTAAAATCTGATCTTTTGTTCATATGCCCAAGCAGATGATGTGCTTGACAATAGTTGCAAGATGGATGGTGCCGAGTACTTGCCACCCCGTGAATTCCTTTACGAGGATGTTTCGCATTGCCGCCCTGCATGCAATTATTTTGCTTGCAGTGCAGTAATTCCTTCATTGCCATTGACAATAAATTGGTTAAGGGATTGTGTTAGAGAAAACCCCTCTCTGAGAATACAGGTGAGGATATTCCTTGTTTCAAGTTTATATAGTTCTTCATTTACAAACACATAAAAATACTTGCAGTTTATCAGATACCAAGAAATGTGTGAACAAATGATCATTGTGGGTCTCCTATTAGATTGATCATAGATGTACATACAGTCTCTTATCAATCATAATCGTCATTCATTTTCCAGATTTGAGTCTATTTGCTGAACAAATCGGACCCTTGCTAACCAGACGTGTATGTTATTGTGGACTTACAGGTTCTTGTAACTGGATCATTGCATCTGGTTGGAGATGTACTAAAGTTGATAAGGAGATAATATAAACTAAAATCTGAAGCTGTCTCAAACACGGATTTGTCACTAGATATTCTTTTTCTCAATTCCTTATTGAATATCTGTCCAGCTTGCTGAACTAATAATGTATTTCCTTCCAAAATGGGAGGGGATTATGAATTATTGTGTGTTTTCTGTAAAATAATTGATGTTATCATCATCACCATCCTTGCCTTAATCTCATGTAAAATACTAAACGATGATAAACGTATTCAGCTTTCAGAATTTATTTACTGGGATGTTCATAATTCATTTACTGAGAGTATCTTAAGGATGCATTAAGAAATATTCATATTGGTCGGCAGTGTTTTATTTTATGTGCTTGTAAACTTAGGGTGTATGCGGATTTTAAATCATTAAATAGGCTTCTGCTTTTGGAATCTCAGTTAAGCCTGCCCCAAGAAATGTTAACTGAATGTGGAACTGATTTCTGTCTGATTCTCAAATCCAGGGGTGAAATGTAGAATTAGTAAGTTGGGAAACACCAAACAGGACAAGGATAGGAAATAAAACAAAAAAATTATCTAATGATTACCTGAGAAAAAAATAATAATAATGACCAAGGACCAAATGACCCAGCGGTATCACCCCTTCCCTCCTAAAAGGGAGGTTAGGGGTTCAAACCTTGGTCTGCAGGGTGTGTGTTATAATTGCTTTTAATTTTTAAAAAAATAATAATAATGAAGGTTTGGAGGTATTTTATACCATTTTGTAAATAATGAGATTTTATGGGATTTAGATAGGGCTGCAATTTGGGCGGGCTTATACCTCAGACATGTTTGGGTTGGGCTTGGGCTTGGGCTTGGGCTTGGGTTTGGGCTCAATCCGAACCGAAAACCCAAAAAAAATAAAAACTCTCCTCTCTCTTCTTTCTACCGTCCCCTCCGCCGCCCACAGCCGCCGCCATCCCTCCGCCAATGCCGCCGCCGCCACCGTCATTTTCAAAAATTAAAACAAAACCCATACATGCAAGTTAGCAGTTGGAGAGAGAGAGAGAGAGGGGGGCACTCACTTGGGATTTGAAATGGGCTTTTATTTTGTTTGACATGGATGGAATCCAAAATGAGTATGACAAAAAGGAATCAAATAAAATGTATGATTAAAAATCTCTTAAAAATGCACAGATTTTTTTAAAATTATTGAATTAAACTAGTATTCTAAATTTTTCTTTCCTTAAAACAAAATGAATTTTCCATTTTTTTCAGTCCTCTCATTTTCTTTACCTTTTAGAAATTTAGTTCTCAATTTAATTTGATTCTAATTCTAAGCACAGTGACATAAAGCCTATCATAAATTTTAAATAAAAATATAACAAGTGTCAAGAGATACGAACTCTCTTTTTTATAGTAGAATAATTTATTAGAAAATTTTAATTTTATGTGTAAGGTATTGCAATATTCATTTCTTTTTCAAATTTTAAAATCTCAATACACAAAACTCATATATCTTATCACAAGAGTGCTATCATGAATATTACTTATAAACAATCTTAAATTTGTTACTGTATTTCGAAAAAGTTTCTAAATGTCTAGAATTATTCTTTTATTCATACAACAATTTATTTATTTATTTTAATATGGTATATCCTCTTGGTTATGTTTATGAGATTCAAAATGAATCTAATCTTCATCTGGATTAAGAATACAATTATGCAGTCGAAACCAAATTTAAGTCAACTTTTCTTAGAACTAAACTTGGGATGAAAAATTCAACTCAGATTTACTCAGATTAAGGTGTGAAGAACAGTTTGAATTGGAACTAAACTCTAACATGATTTTATATATTTATTATCTAAATGATAGAAAATATCCCGTCTTTCTCTTATTAGTAGTTCTGTGAAATTTTAAATTCAAAAATATTTTTATTTTTATTTTAATGATATAAAACACAAGACATTGCAAAAAAAAATTTGAACCAAGTCTGTCCCACTAATTGTCATCAGCTAGATGCCATACCAATATAGAGTTGCCACGTCAATTCGGGACCCACGTCATGACAAGCTTTCTATGACGTGTAGACATATGATTGGCTTCCCACATCTCTAGGTTATTCAAGCACAAACCAGAAAGAGAGAAGAGGGAGAGAGAGATAGATAGAGAGACGGAGTAAGTGAGTTTTAGAGAGAGAAGACTCCGCCATGACAGCTCGCAAGAGAGCTTTATCAGACGCCTCCACAAAACCCTCGTTAACAGAAACTCAAACAAAGCCCCAACAAACCACTGCAAACTCAACGGACCCTCCGATCGCTCCATCCAAAGCAGGACAGATCTTGAAATTCTCTCTCATCTTCTTCGTCCCATACTTCTACCTCATTTTATCTCACTACAAAATCGAGGCAGACCTCAAGAGATCGATACTGATTAACGCCATCTTGAGCTGCGCGGGCTTCTTCCTAACCCTAACTATGATCCCTGTGGCTTCTAAATACGTTTCGAGGCGTAATTTATTTGGTTATGACATAAACAAGAAGGGTACACCTCAAGGTTCAATCAAAGTGTGAGTCTTTTTTAGCTTTCATTTTTAAAGATATTGTTACCGATGTTAATGAACTGGGCAGGTGTTAGATTGTTGATTTGTATATCAATTGTTCACTCAATATGTGAATTTGTTTAAATGAATGTTATTGTTAGAAGTTATGAATTGGGCATGCTTTATATCCTTTTTTGCAATTTTATATGCTTTGATTCTTCATATATTCAGTATTGTGAACTGGGACGCCCTAAACGAAAAATATTTTATCGACGTTTACAAATTATTCATGTCTGAAACCGTCAAATTAGCTTTGCAGAGTTCAATAACCAGTTAGATTGAAGTATGAGCTTTTTAGTGTTGTTGATTTTTATCCATGTTCATAGAGGCATAAATTTGGCACATGTTATATCTTCAATTCATTGTTGAAATTCATAAGTCTGGTGAGCCTTTGATAGACAGTCCGTGTTCAATTTGTTCATTCAAAGTGCGAACTTTCTATTTTTGATATTTTGCATTGTCCCTTAGTCAACATGGAGGCCAATTTTGTTAGCTAATAGACCCCTTAGTGCATAATTTCATAAATTTCAACATGGAGGCCAATTTTGTTGACTCGTATGAACATAAGAGGTTTTGGCCCAGCTTGTGTTTTCTTCTGAATAAGATGGAAATCAAATTGGATGTGTTTAATCCATTCGTGAAGTGCAGGACTCAAGATAGTAAAGTGTAGCCGGTTGGAAAGAGTGACACTCAAAATCTTTTAAAAGATGGATTTACCAGGTGATTTTGGAAGCCATAGAAAGCATGGGCCTATATATTGCCTCTTGCAAAGGAGCGAGAAACTATTATCTCTTTCTTAGATTTCCAGAAAATTGGAATGTGTCCAAGAAATGTGCAATAAACAATGGAAGAACATCAAGTGATAGGATCATAGGATACATACCCAAAAAAAAAAAAATCAAGTGATAGGATTAGTCGCCAAAATCTAAGATGCAGAATGCTTGGAGCTGAAGTGGACTGGTAGATGAGAGCAAGCTGCTTTGTCCTGGAGCATATTGAGAGTGTAACACTGCAGAAGAAGTTTACGGACTGCAGTCATAAACTTTCTTGATTTTTGGACAGAATAAACAATATTTGGACATGTATCTGTAAGATACATCAGCATGCCCACTAGTTGATGATATTAGGAAAGATCTTCACACGCATGACATTGCATGAGGTTCATATACATCATGATGAGTGTACTATCCAATAGAAGCATAACACATACAACAAAAATGTGCAAATAATCATATTTAGGTGAATTTGATTAATTAAGCATCACTTAAAACACATTGCAGCCTTGATGCAACGGTAAGGTTGCTCCATTGTGACCTGGTGGTAACGGGTTTGAAGCAAGGAAACAACCTCTTCGCATGGGGAGATAAGGTTGCATACATCTGACCCTCCGTAGACCTTGCAATGGCGGGAGCCTCGTGCACACTGGGCAAAACACAGTCTCCCCAAAATGATGGGTTTAACCAGCTTGAGATGGAATATGATATGAGCAACTTTCAAAAGTTGTCTATGCTTTCGCTTTACTACACTTTTGTTTTGATGCTCCAATGCAACTATGTTGAAAAAAATTGGATGCTTGTTTAAAATAATTGTCATCTCCTAAAAAAATTTGAGACACAATATAAAGTTTTTTGTGTTGTTTTGGGTAGATATAAACACTATTAAGTTGCTCCTGAGTGTGAGTAGAGTGTTTACATGTTGAAGATTCTGATGAAATTTACAAATTTTGGATTATGGTGAAAGTATTATTTTAGAGACATTAAGTAATATTTAATTGATAATGAAATCTTTGCTTACAAATTCGTCTGAGAAAATCAGTAAAAATGTGATTCAATTTTTTTTTTTTTTTTTTTTAAGTTTTATTCTCAGTGAAAGAAAAAATCAGAGGCAATTTTTTAATATTAATTAGTATGTAGTCCCATTAATATTAAATTACTTTGCCAAATCTAAATATTAAACTGTGTCTAATGCATTATCACTAAAAAGGCATCAGTATTTCCTACAGTCTGCTTATATTGTTTTGGCGCTGACATATACGACAGAATTTAAGAGTGATTTCTCGAGAAACAGACTAAATCAGTGTGGTCCGTATGGACTAGAAAAATGAACTGATAAATTTTAACACAATTTTTGAGTAGTTTATACCTTTTTAGTTGTGTTTGTGGGTTAATTTTGCTATATGTGCCAACTGATGTTACATAGTGCGTTGAAATTTTGAACACTTGCGAGTGCTTGCTATTAGCTTACTTTTCCATAATAAAATTTTGTTATAAAAAAATTCTCAATTCCAAAGGCAATAAAGATCCTATTTGGTGGTTACATCATTGACCTATATAGATGGTATCTTTTTATTCATTTAACTTCTTTTATCATACTTTGCTTACTGATTCTAATTTATATTTTGCAGGCCTGAATCATTGGGTATTGTTGTTGGCATTGTTTTCTTGGTTTTGGCAATCTTATTTCAGTATTTTAATTTCACATCAGATTCAAATGTAAGTATATTATCTTATAAAAGTTTCTAGCTTACGGCCTCTTTGGAGGAAGATTCTTTTTCTTATTGTAGCTTCTCAATTTATCTTCATGTTTTCCTCCTTTCGTTGCTCTTTATCTTCTTTTTTCTTTGCTTTTAACTGCACGAGACACTGTTGCTTTTCAATATTCGGTGGGGAATTCCAAAACTGTTTTACTCTAACCAGTGGTAGATTGAAATGCTGATTGTTTAATTTTTGCAGTGGCTTGTTGAGTACAATGCTGCATTAGCATCCATCTGCTTCATGATTTTGCTTGGATTTGTAGATGATGTACTTGATGTCCCATGGAGAGTGTGAGTATTTTCATACCATTTTGTATTCCCTTTCAAAAGCCTATTTATCTCAAAAGCTTTGTTTTGCTGCTGCTTAACTATAGTTAATGCGATAATTCTTATTGTTTTAACTTAATTTTGACCATCAGGAAATTGTTATTGCCTTCAATTGCTGCTCTTCCCTTGTTGATGGCATATGCTGGGCATACAACTATTATTGTACCCAAACCTCTCATTCCATATGTTGGGCTAGAGGTTTTGGATTTAGGTAATGTTTTTAATGTGGACAATATTCTTGACACCGCTGTAATGTAATGATGTTTAAGATACAAAGAGCATCAGAATTATTAGCATTGATATTCTTATTGATGAATGGTGATAGCTTTATTAACCTTTAAAAAATGAATCTACTCACTCTTTTAGGTAGCTGGACTAACTTCTGCCAATATGATATATAGTTGCTCCAGTTAAATATTGGTTGATCTCTTAATTCTTCTATCATTTGTTATGTGGGCAGGTTGGATATATAAATTATATATGGGGCTTTTGGCTGTATTTTGCACCAACTCCATCAATATCCATGCTGGTCTAAATGGCCTTGAAGTTGGGCAGACAGTTGTTATTGCATCTGCTGTAAGCATCAAATCTTGTACAAATATTGGAGATCTGACTTTTTATGAAATCTAATACATAATAGTGATTTACAGATTCTGATACATAATGTCATGCAAATTGGAGTGTCTACAGACCCTGAGTATAAACAGGCCCATGCATTCTCTATTTACCTTGTTCAACCATTACTTGCCACTTCCTTGGCTTTACTTTCTCACAACTGGTAATAATACCGTCATTTTTATATTTTGCAGTTTAGCAAATGCTCTTATTGCATTAACGTGTAATCCTAGACACTTTCTGTTCTGCATATTCCAGGTATCCTTCTTCAGTTTTTGTTGGTGACACCTACACATACTTTGCTGGAATGACTATGGCTGTAGTTGGCATTCTGGGCCACTTTAGGTACGTATCGTAAGGGTGTGTTAGGCAATTTGGAATCAGGGTCCCATAATCATCACCACATACTAGGGAATCAAATATTCCCATTGCAGTGTTTGGATATGATCAGGAGTATTAGAGTAGACATTTCATTCCATTTTAGTGTTTGTTCAGTCATATTAAATGAGGGAGTGAAAAATCAATTTGTGAGTCAAACTTGTAAAACTAACCTAAAATTAAAATTTGGTGCAACATAAAAAAAGATTTAATATAATTGATATTATTTTTAAAAAAATGTTTACCCACCATTATTTTTATGCAGTGTTAATGTTTTGTCAAAAAATATTGTGTTGACTGAACGAATACTCCCCTCAAGTTTGTTATATGCTCCCATGGAAATGGGAATGAGAGTAATACTACGACCCTTTCATCAATAGCATGCACCAAATATAGGAATCAAGGCAATGGGAATGAAATGCCCATTCCTGCCCATGATACATATCAACCAAACTGAACTTAACTGCCCTTCCTTTTAACTTTATGGAAAACCTTGTTATTGCATATCCTTCAGTTGCAACTTGGTAACTAAACATAAATGTGTTGCTTGCAGAGCAACCAACATGATTATTATCAACTTGATGTTTCACAATATAAGAACCTACAATAATTTAATGAAGTAAAAGATATTTACAGATGATGTAAAAACAAACTGAAACGAGTTCTTTTTTATAAATGATCAACCATCCCCGCCCTAACAAAAAGCAACTCAACTTAACAAAGCCTTTGGCTATATGAATCCTATTTTTTCATTCCGCCTTAAGGTCAAAGTCTGAAGCAAACCATTTGTTATCATATCCTTCTTATTAGCTCTACCCACGTTAGCTTTGCCTTTCTCCTTCTCCTTCTCCTATCATACCCTCAATGTGGACCATGTCACTCTTTCTAACTGACACATTTAGTGATCATTTTTGCACATGTCCTAACCATCTTAATCGGTTTTAAATTATTCTATTCTACCATACGTCTTCACTCCCTCTGGTCTTTCAACTAACAAAATTGATGTGTAAAAACATCATCCTGTTGTGCATCACAGGGTACAGAAATTAGATGTTCCCTCGCAAGCATCCTTTAACAAGTTCTTAAAAAAGTCCCAAAAGTACATTAAAGCTTCTCATATATCTTTGATTAAATTAACCCATAAATAAATAAAATACACTAGTTCTTAGCCCCGCCACCAAATTCACCCCCCTCCTCCCCTCCTTTTTCTATTGGTAGGTAAGCACACACTCACACACCCCATGTTGCCTTTGATGAATTACAAACTTTACAAAGCCTGAAGTCCCAATTACATGGATTTAGCTTCTAAGAACATCACGTGTCTTTCTTTCTAGATTGATGCATATAACAATTTGAATTTCTTGTCTATTACTTAATAATTATAGTAATGCATTTATTCTTACTAAATCTTGTCACAGTGAAACACTCTTGATATTCTTTACTCCTCAAGTTTTGAACTTCCTCTTATCACTCCCTCAGGTTTGGTCGAGTATTTCTCTATCTATATATCTAAACTCCAATTTTCTAGAAGTGCAAGAATTTTGAAGATTCTAATTTGTTTTACTTTCTGTCAGCTTTCTGGCTACATACCTTGTCCACGGCACCGGCTGCCAAGGTAGGTTTCCAAGGGTTCTCACTGGTGGCTTGTGGAATCTGTGTGAATTATGTGAAAATCTTTGAATTTCAGGTTTGACCCTCAGACAGGACTTCTAACCGGGACAAATGATGGGACACTTGTGAACTTATTCTTAAGACGATTTGGCAGGATGTCAGAAAAGTCACTTTGCATCCTATTACTTGTTTTCCAGGTAACTGAATCATGTTGTTTTCCTTTTGATCTTCAAGCTGCACCTTGGTTACATGAATTAATATTTGAATCTAAGTACTCAAGGCCGCATAAGTATCTTTTTAGTTATTGCATCGAACACGGTTTGCAAGGATGGTTCCAACCCAATTGTCAATGAATATTGCCTAGCAAATGATTTTTACTTTGTGCTTACTCTTTGGACGTGGCAAGGTCCATCTAATCTTCTTTTTTTTTTTTTTTCCCTCTCTTTCTATTCTCCTATAATAAAAGGATTTAGGTTGACCTATCTAGGGAATGATCCGATCTATCTAAAACTTGATTGTGAACACATACCATTAGGCTCTCAGACCTGACCGATCTGATACCAACTTGATTTATGATTCTTTTTTTAAAAATTAACTGACTAGTTGGTCCTCCCTGCCTATGGCAGGTGGAGGGCTTGATGTCAGCATCATATACTTACATACATACATACATAACATATATATATATATATATATATATATATAATGATGAAATGTCTATGTCTAGGTCTTGCCATTTTCATTGATATTGGTGGTAATTCATTATTGGTGCGTCAACACCTTCATTAGGGCTTCTAGTGATGAAATAGCTGCTTCAATGAAGATAGGAAGTACAAGTATTCGATCAAGATGAAAATCAGCATTCCTAATGCCAATTGACTGATCACCTAAATTCCACTGTTTTAAGTCATTAACACTCCCGATCCACCATAATTTTAGATGATCTTCAATAGAAACCAAAAAATGCATTGAAATGGTGTAAAACGCCAACTTGTCAAAATTGAAATTAAGTAAAACTAGGTGGTCATTGGTGATGTAAGTAGATGTTATTGGTCGCCACTAGCTGCATTGTAGGTGGTGAAACACCATGAAAGTGACAGTTACCCCAAGTCTTTACCGGCCGTCCAAGAAATCATGGTTGTTCTCCCCCCACTATAATCTTATATTTGTTGTTCCATTAATCATATAGTTTGTCAAATTACATGGTAGGACATGACTATCATAAATTTCTTCTCAATGTTCTTTCAAAAGTTACCACTAAAAAATGTTGGCGCGAGTCGAATAACAGTGACTGATAACATATTTTTGTTATTATTTTTTTAATCAAATATAGGAGTGACATCTTGGTAATCTGTTAAAAATATGAAGGCAAGAATGGGTAAAAAAGTAAGAAGGCTTCTCTCCATTTCAATTTTGGAAGTATATGAGAACAATATTATAAGAAAATACAATATGTACAAAAGGAAAGGGCAAGAGCACAAGGAAAATAGCAAAATGACTTTCCAGGACCACTCCCCCCCCCCCCCCCCCCCCCCCCCCCCCCCCTTGCGCAATAAAAAGCAAAGTGGCATGTTGTTAATTCAGGAACTTTGAGGGGCAATATGGGGAAGAACGAATCACTTCCTCTCTTCACCTAGCATAACCCTACATATTGCCAGCTCAGCATAAGACCTTAGACATTAAGGAATATATTGTTTTTTAAATGTAATTAATGAAAAGAGTAGACATTCATGAAATTTATCTGAGGAACTGCTTGATGGAATTTATATCATATAGGGTATCTCTACCGGAGCAACTTGTGTTGTAGTTTTTAATTATTTATAAAATGTAAGGTTTTTCAAGGATTTTCACTTTGGAAACTCAACTTTGGATCAGCGGCTGTTTTCCTCTTCGAAGCACTCAAAGCATGACGAGTACTAGTTTACCTAAATGTAATTAATGAAATAGTAGATTTTAAAAACGAATAAGTACCCTTCCAAAGGAGAAATAAGGGCCAACTCAAGCCATGCTTTGTTGGTTGCGCATGTGACATGTTGCCATCCTATGCATTTTTATGAGTTCGGATTCATCCTGCAAGTTGTCTTGCATAAGCTGGTTCATGATATGTGCTCAGGTATCTGCTTGTGATCATTTAATATATGAATCCATTTATTTGCCACAGGCCATTGGCTGCTGCTTCTGTTTTCTACTAAGGTGGTTACTTGCTGGTTGGTATAAATGAGGCCGTAACTTCAAAAAAACAATCTTCTACTTTGTTCATGAATATGCGGTACTACCTCACCAGATAAGGATTGTATTATTTGATTTAGTTATTTGCAATAGAGAAACTTAACCCTACACATACTGGACTCGTATTTTTGTAGGAAACACGGATATCTGCAGTTATGGGCAGTTTTGACAGGATAATCAAGAAGATCAAATAACTTAATTTGAGCTGAACCAATATCCACCCATTTAGTGGTGAGGATAATTTTTTGTCGGAGAAATTTCGAAGTTCTAGCTAAAGAGTTCCGAGGGCTGTGTTCTTCTTTTCCCTGTCATTGTGCTCAATTATGTTTGGGATGTCACACATACATTTTGTATGATTTCAACTCTGCACTCTTTTGTTATATTGAAAATGGTGGCTCTGTACAGTAATTTTAATTTGTAGTGGCGAAGCCTGAAAATAAAGGATTGTATACGCAACAGTGCAATTTTTGCGAAGATCTACTATGATGACTTCCTACTAGTTCATCTCAAGTCGTTTATTTTGGTAGATTTGAAAATGAGTGAATTGGCTGAATTTCACCGAAAAAATAGCAATGTGAAAAGGGCATTTTTTTGATACTATAAATTTAAATTCTTCTAAATTTGGCTGTATGTTTCAAATTTATTGCTGAATTCAGACTACTTCCAATTTCTGGAACCTTAGGCATGAACTCAGCAAACTTGAAATCCAAGGTAAAAGCTTGAAAATGCACCTTGTTTGAAGATGCACTCATGCCTTGATTTACAAGGTCCGCTTCCATCCTATATGTACCAGACAATGGATGCCGAATTGTAATTTACATAAACGTACAACTGCAATAAAAAAAAGTTGACCACAGCACCAAACAATGGTCCTAAAGAGTCATAAACAACGACAGCAGCGATAAAAGCACCAACGTCCCTCCAAAAAGACAGCCAAGAAACTGAAGCATTGAAGAGGGTGGTGGCAGCAAGCAAAAGCTGACATGCATATGCAATGGATCGGTGAACAACGCTTTAGAGTTGAGAACAACAAAACTGTAATCAATCCGTCATTAACAGTATAATTTCTCCTCCCTCAAATGGGAGGTGAAGGGTTCGGTGCCAAGATTCAATAAATTTTGGTGTTGGAGTGATTTTCAACACTATTATACTTATTTTTAACACTTTTACATTTACTTTTTTTTAAGTAGATATAATGTGTTGAAAAATAGATGTAACATGTTGAAAATCAAATGTAATGTGTTGAAAAGTGTACAACACTACCATAGGAGGAGGGAGATTACAAGTTTACAGTAGAGAATCGAACTCGAAGAATTTGAATCTGTGGTGAACAATTTGTGAAATGTGAATGTGCGTAACCTAAAGAACTGTTCCCGACAATAAGCACAACCTTCTTGCAAATGCCCTCGAAGCCCATTTTTATGTCAACAAAGCTTGATTTATGGATAATCCCATATATTAACAAACAAGTTATATGGACACTAATCCATTCAAGATTTTGATTAGAATTTTCTTGCCTACCTTGGGATGGATTAAAATCCTGGTTTGTATGACGTCCATACCCCTGTTGGAAAAAGGCAGATGTAACCAGACACACCATTTCAAGCGATGAATCAGCCCTAACACAATTTATTGAATTGAGGTAGCCAAAGTCAGTCAACAGCATGTAAGATATAAAAACTATACTTATTTATTCCAAACACTATTGGCTTCTTTACAACATGGTGGTCTTTCTCGTTTATTAGACTAGTGTGTACTATGTTCCGTTAACATTATCGACGTACGACCCCATTGTACAAAATACTATTAATATTATTGATGTGATTCTTATCTAACTTGTAGACATCTGATGCAATTATTCAAGCATATAAAAATAAATGTACAGTATATGTATATGTTTTGAATATTGAATCAGATTCATTGCACCTTTATTCCAATCTCAGAAAAACTCCTTCAAGACTGGTCAATGGTATAAAAATAAATGTACAATATATGATATATATGTTTTCTACTTACAAAATTTGGGACACTCTAAATTTTCATTCTCACAAGGCTCTACCAAAAAAATCTAGAGGAAGTCCTACTTAAACACTTGTTACACACGAATACAATTGGTCAGAGTCGAAATGGTTCCTACAAGAAATTTTCTAATCAAATATAACGATTCTTTTATATTTTATATTTTATATTTTATATTTTTATTTTTGTAAATATAACTAAGAAATTGAAACCCAAGAAATTAAATAGAAAATTGAGAGAGAATTCCATCAGTAAGAGTTGGTATAATTTCCACATCCTATACAGGGATGGTAGACATATGATATGACAATGATGTTGAAGACTTTTGTGATGATAATCAACACCCGATTATGCGCATCCCCTTCACTTTTCAGAGCCACGGCGTGAATTGTGGTTGTCACCTAGCCAAGTGAACCAACTTGGTGTCCAATTGACTAGTAAATCAGTTAATGCCATGACAATGAATTAGGTTGGCTTTTTATGGCTCGACACATTAAAATCAAAGAAGCAGTATAGCACATGGTGACTTGAATGCTCTTGAAGTCTCCAGTGTCCTGTGCAAATTGCCTTTTAAAATGGTGACTTGTACACGGCTGCGAAGCGTGCGTACACTAGATTTTTTTTTTTTTTTGATAAGTTGTACACTAGATTTAGTTTAGTACAGAAAAATAAAGGAGAAAATCTCATCCCAATTTTAAATAATAAAGTCATATGATTAAAGATAGATTTTATGAACATTTTAACAGAAAATCAGAAACAAATGTTTATAAGACATACCCAATTTTGTGAGGGTGAAAGCAATAAAACAACTTGACTTATGTGTACGCATAAATAAAACTTTTTTTTTCGGAAATTTGTACACGTGAATTCACAAAAATAAACACATACTAATATACAACCGTGTGTATTATATGTGTGTATTCAGGTTTTGAATTTTTTTTTTTAAGTATAGGAAAAAAAAAAATTAGTATAGGGAAAAAAGAAAAATTGTATATGACGTTCTATACTTGGCCACCCCAAAATTCTTCTCTCTCTAATGGCCTTTAACCAATTTAGGCTCAAATTCATTTGCAATATAATAAGATTGTGTGTGGTGTATATATATAATATACTCGAGCTTCGTATATTTGTTGTATATATTCATTGTCGGACAGTGATAGGTTAGTTGTTTCAAACTGATGCCTAAATAAGAATTTTAACTTTATTTTTTTATAATAAGGCAAAACGGATGTAAATATGTAAGTTCCCTTTCTTTCTACTTTTATCTTTTGTTTTGCTTTTCAGTTTGAAGTTTCTGTCAATATTAAAAACTTTTTTTTTTTCTTTCTTTCAAATACCCTTCTGTACATTATTTCTAAATCAGTGGATTAGGAATATATATATATAATTTAAAGTATATAATATTATCAATCAATTAAACAAAAATCTCATTTTGTCAATGTATACTTTACCCCAAATTTTATTAATTGATTCAGAGATTCGGTTCCGACTTGTAAAATTAAAAAAATCTCTCACTTAAACTCAAAAGTGAGTAATGAATAGGTCAAATTTTGAAATACCATATAAATTACTCAATCGGTTCCAAAATAATTGTTTGCTTTGGAAACTGTGCTATTTTGGACGGAGAGAGTATATAATTATATTTTTTTATACATATAATATATGTATTTTTTAAAATTTTCAACATTTAATTTTTTAATGTTGTAATTCATACTTATTATGTAGCTCCAAGTAAGAGACTGGTAATTGGATCAATCGGAGTCTTGCTCATATTTGACGAAGGTTGGTGTAAAGGACCTCTGAATTAGAGGCATCATTTTTGAATTATTCTCTTTATACAATTGTACTATTATTTGATAATTGAAAATAATGAAAGATTGATAGTTTAATATGTATTACCCATTATGTGTTTCAGTTTTTGCTAGATTATTAATTTGTATTATTATTACATTAAATTCGTATTTATTTATAAATTAAAGTTTAATTGTTTACTTGAAACTTCTGTAAATTTGGACTTAAATCTTATTTGTGTCAGGGAAGTTTGATTAAAAAAAATAAAAACCTTCTTTAAATTGCTTTCTTTTTTTCTTTTCTTTTTTAATAAATTGGCAAAAATTTGGCTAAATATATATTTATATGAATATAATGAATAGTTTTTTTTTTTTTTTTTTTTTTTGGGGGAGGGGTTGAATTAATCTTATGGCTGCTTCAAAGTTTGGCCCCCAACCACATGATCCTGACTCCAGCTGTGTATATAATATGTATGAAAGGTTGATGAGATTGGATATAATGTATTAGTAAACATTTCTACGAAGACATGGAAATTAAAACCAAGACTTTTCAAAGGAAATCAGTGAGTCCAGCAATAAGCTCATAGTCATAGGCGTGGTGGAATGATATAGCTAGGTGGGTGCTTCTTGTCGATTGCTTAATTTCCATGGATGATGGATTCATGGATTGACCCGGCAGTAGACTTGTGGGAGTCCCCATCATTTACTTCTCTACTGCAACTCCTATCCTTAATTTCCACATACACACACAATCTCTCTCTCTCTCTCTCTCTCTCTCTATCTATATATATATATATATCTATACGCATCGAGTGTAAACTATATCTCCAAACTATCACAGCTTCTTCTCCATGGCTACTAAGAACCATTCTGTTATTGGCTTAGTCCTTGTGGTTGCTCTGCTAGTGGTTAGCTTGAAATCTGCAGGTCTCTCTCACTCTCTCCCTTTCACCATTTTTGTGGTATCATTGCTCTGAGTTTAGTACTCTTGACACCATTTCAGTGGCTTTGCTTTAATGCCAAATTTGTAGGAGCATATATATATATATATATATATATATATTTAACGAACACTAGATGGCCTTTCGGGTCTGTTTAGTTTAGTTTTCATAGAATAGTTTTCTATACAGACAGAATTGAGAATCAGAAAATAGTACAAAAATATATTTGGTAGTTAATAGTTTTCTGAAAACTAAGTTAAAAAAATATCAGTATTAAGTAGTCTTCTATAGTCTTATAAATACGATTTATTTTTTATTTTTTATTTTAGTTTTGTACAATAAAATTTCCACCCGACTTAAGAATTTGAGTATCAGTTGGGCTTAGGTAGGAAAGTTTATGTAAAAGTTTGGGTGGCATGGGTCGGACTTGAATTGCATGTTTTATACCCTTCCATCACACCAACTTGACCATTCTAGATTTAGATACAGATTTTAATATTCTCGTGCTAATATAGATTTCAAAGATACCTGCAACAAAACACTTGCAACTCTGTGTTTAAAGCATGTTCTAATTGTTTAATTGCACCACTCTATTTAACATCATGTTCTTTTTTGTTGGAAAATTTCTCAAAATCGAAAAATCAGCAATATATATATGTGTGAAAAAAATTCAAATTCACGAAGTGTTAAGTTGATGTTTAATGAGCTGAATCCAATGCAGATGCCCAAATAGGAGTTTGTTATGGAATGCAAGGTGATGGACTACCACCCAAACCAGAAGTTGTGGCACTTTACAAGCAGAACAACATCCGAAGAATGCGACTCTATGATCCGGACCAAGCTGCTCTTCAAGCACTGGGAGGCTCCAACATTGAGGTCATTTTAGGTGTCCCAAACACTGAGCTTAAAAATCTTGCTGCAAGCCAAGCCAATGCCGATTCATGGGTCCAAAGGAATGTAAAAAGCTATCCTACCGTCAAATTCAAGTACATCGCGGTAGGAAATGAAGTCGATCCACCAAATCGTCAGTTTGTGCTCCCAGCTATGAAAAATGTGCGCAATGCAATAGGAACCCAAATCCCAGTTTCCACTGCCATTGACACTACTCTCATTCAAGACTCGTACCCTCCATCCAAAACAATTTTTAAGCCTGATGTTCGATCATTTATTGATCCCATCATTGGGTTCCTAGCGAACAATAATGCCCCGTTACTTGTTAACTTGTACCCATATTTTGCTCACATAGGCAACCCCAGGGACGTTCCCCTCGATTATGCTCTTTTTAAAGCACCTTCTGGAGGGTACCCTAATCTTTTTGATGCCCTCTTGGATGCTGTTTATTTTGCACTTGAGAAGGCCGGCGGCGCTTCCCTGAGAATTGTGGTCTCGGAGAGTGGTTGGCCTTCAGCCGGTGGCGATGCGACCACGATTGATAATGCAAGGACTTATAACAACAATTTGATTCAGCATGTCAAGGGAGGCACTCCTAAAAAGCCTGGTCCTATAGAGACTTACGTGTTTGCTATGTTTGATGAGAGTCGAAAGAGCCCAGAATTTGAGAAGCATTGGGGACTTTTTCTTCCAAATAAGCAACCCAAGTACCCAGTTAATTTCGCTTAGGTTATAAATTAGAGGAACAGTGGCATTGTGCTTATGTATTACTATCTTGAATAAGGGGGCTTCTTTAAACAGTTTATGTACCTTACCCCCCCCCCCCAAAAAAATGCAATAGAACCATAAATAAAAGCACTAATAAGGACTTGCCAGTTTAGTTTATCGTATATATTATTCTCTTTGCAATGTTAGGTGCACATGCAGAAAAGTTTGATCTGGGAACATGGTTTTAGGGAATTCCCACCTTCTCATTGGGGGAAATTTTTGTCCCTACTAATTACAATTCAACACGTGAATGAATGTGTAAAATTGTAAATTTTATTTAAATTTTTATTTAAGTATTAAGTTATGATTGACGAATATAATGCGGTATAAGTTCATAATTGCATAATGCAAAATTTTGCCATTGGCACTAGTAGTCTAGTAGATGCCTATAATATTCCTCTGATACTTTTTTTTCTCAAGTATTAATTCTACTTCCTTTTTTTTTTTTTTAATACTCAGTAGAATTAATACTCTTATTTTGTCCGAAGTAATAATTCTGCTTCAAAAATGTCAATGTGAATATCAAACTTAATTAATTAGATAAAAATAATGACCAGCAATTCAAATACCTTTTATTAGGGCTACTCACTTGAGTGTGAAATTTGTAGCACCTAACCAATGGATGTAATTTAGATGGTTTGATTTCTTCTTTCGAAATGAGGGATTGAGTGTTCGGTTTTACTAAGGATAATATTGTAAATATATTTATTTATTCAAGATTAATTTAAAAAAAAAAAAAACCTAGCACCTAGCAAATATTACTTCGTCGACCATAAATCTAATACCTATTAATTTATCATTTTTAATATTATTAATTAATTAAAGAGTATGATTTTAAGCAAACTTAAAAATAATTGTAGTAAAATGACCATAATCATTGTATTGCATTACTAGTGTAATTTTTTTTTTAGTAATTTTAGTGGGGACAATAGTAAGATTTTATAAGTATATAATTCTAAAAAAAATCAAATTAGTAGGGAATAATACTAAAAAAATATATATTTATATGGAGATCGGTGCGTGTTCATCACCTATGGGATCTAGTGGCTAGCAAAGACAGTAAAAGTGATTAAGGACACACCATTTTTTTAATTATAATTTTTGAAATAAAAGAAAAGCAATTTAAAAATACTTGTCAACGAGAATAACCTACTTTGACAAAAATAATAATAATAATAATACTAAATAATAATAAATAAATAATTGGCAAAAAGTGTTAAATGTTAAATGAATAATGATAGAAAACCTTAATAATTATTCCGAGCTTTCACGGCTAAATCATGTCAAATTCATTTAACGTCTTTTAAAGGTGGCTATTCAACATTTTTTCTCACTTCACGTGACTTGGAAACTGAGTAATTTGGTGGGTTTAATCTTCAGCCTCACAAATTGCATAAATCAGATTCAAACAAGAGACTGATGCTAAATTAGATCATGTGCCCAGTCCTAAAAAGTGATGCTCTACTTACGCCCTTTGGGAATTTGATGAAGAGTTCTTAAATTTTTATTTTTTCAAAAAAGGTTTGATAATATTTGAGAAAATTTTGAAATTGTATCAAACTCAAAAATTTCGTTCACAACAAATCTACAGACGCCAAATTAGAACTCATGAACGAAATCGATAAATCAAAACAAATAAAAAATTAAATAAATCGATACAAAGCCCGAGGTTACAACATTGAAGACGTTCTCGTTGGTTGTATCTAAAAGTTCCGATTTGCTGGTAAGAATACAAATTCATTCTCAACTAAATATTGATACAATCATACCTATATCTATATGTGTGTGTGTGTGTATATATATATTACTTATATTAAATATTCTCTTTGCTGATTTGATATTTATGTTTTTTGATCAATTACAGTGCTTGAGGAAACCACCATGATAAGTTTTAGGATTTTTTTCAAATTTCCTTTATATTTTTTGCACTTCATTATTTATTTTTCATTCGAAATCAGTAATCGAACACCAATGAGGTAAAAGACGAACAATAATTGGTGGAGGATCCATTCAAGTCAGGTTAAGCAAGAGAAAATGTAAAATCCTTACATTTTAAATATGTCTTAATGAACTTAACGTAACTTAACCACGTGAGATTCGATAACAATTTGGGGATAATCATTCAGTTTCCAATCACTTCTCACGTTAAATTAGTAGAATATTCCAAAACTCACACTAATCCATTAGTTATAGGACGACTCAAGTGTAATATAACCTTATCAACTTGGTAGAATTTGGGAAATAAAATAGAATTATAGAAATATCCTAAAAGGGCGGGACACTAATGAAAGTCCACTATTGTCAGGGACAGTTCTGTCATTTTGTCTCACTTCACCTTCCCTTTTAGTAGCCCAAATCAACAAGAAGTCTCTGTATACACACAACCGTGTCGTTACGTTAAACCATTAATCCTGGTAACGGTTCTCACTTGTCACGATAATGGCAAGGTCTGTTAATCATCTGGTAATCTCGTTATTCACTACTCTGTCTCTGGTCTTTCACCTCGTTTCCACTGTCCGATCAGACCATCAAGAGAACCACCATCAAGTCCGAACCGTTCTACGAAAATCGCCGGAGAACTTCCTTCGATTACAGCCAGGTGCACCGTTCAAAATTGCTTTATTCGCCGACTTGCACTTTGGAGAGGATGCGTGGACAAAGTGGGGTCCACAGCAAGACGTGAATTCTTTGAAGGTCATGACAACTGTTCTCGATAAAGAAAACCCAGGTGAGCTTATCAATTCCATTGAACTCAAGTTTTGATGTCAAATCGCTTGCTAAGCATTGTTTGGTACGTTTTCATTTCTTGAAGCACATTTCTCACACGGTATTGCTTTTTGATCTTTATTCTCAGAAACAAAACAGAAAACTAACCAAACAATACATGTCATACTTGGGGGTAGTGGAATAAGCATTTGCAACATCTAGGTCCTATAAATTTTAAAGGCTATGGGTCCTAATTGTGTATATTACTAAAGTGTTTTTATGTTCTTGTTAATTTTATTTATTATTATTATTATTATTATTCTTAACTAAAGTTAGAGGGATAAGGGGATAAAAATAAACAAAATTCATGTAACCAACCTAATATTTTTACCGTATGCAACTAGACCAATGTTATGCAATGACTGAAATTTTAGGAAGTGGAAGGTAAATCGATATTTTTAGTGGTGCAAAACGAAACTAGACCAATGTTTTACTATATGCAATAACTGAAATTTTAGGAAGTGGAAGGTAAATCAATATTTTTAGTGGTGCACTAGCTGATATTTTGGGCCGTGAAAGCCAGATTGATACTTTCGGAGGTCAATGCCAGAACGCACCGGAAAAATAAATAAATAAATAAAAATGTTCGTGTGTTGACCATTGTTTTAGGTGGATTATCCCAAAAATATCTAGTCTAATTACTGAAGTTTTAGGAAAAGAATTTTTCAGGCAATGTGGAAGTGATTTTTTTCCCGGTAATTAAAGAACATGTGTTATAGAAGACAGATGACAAACTCTTGATTGTAATATGTTACTTCAGATTTTTTTTATAACTTTTATTTGCATCAAATATTTTGTTTTTGCAACAATTTAGTTTTCATCAATAATCTTGTAAAAAAAAAAAAAAAACAAACTTCTCCTTTTAATCAGTCCCTTTCAATGTCCTGAACTTTATTTTCCAATAGCTTCAATTTTGATTCTTTAGTGGTAAATCATTTACTTTAGAACCAAAGGTTGTAGTCTAGTACTTCCCCACCTTCTAAAGTAGGAGATCGAGGGTTCCCATAGAGGCAAAGTGGGTATGTGAGTGTGTTTCTTGCCAAATTATAAAATAAATAAATAAATAATGAAAAAATCATTTACTTTAGAATGTTAGAAGGTGCAGCCCACATTGGCCAAACAGCCAGGCCACATGACTGCATCATAATAAATTAAGAATTAATTGAATTATCTTTGTATGACCTTGGAGATCTGTGTGCGGGCGTGAGTTCAAAAGATTCAATTCTTAGTCCAAACCAAAGATCGGTCTCTAGTGGGTTCAGGTGACTTGTCTCAACCAAGAGGACTTCACTGTAAATAGTGTCAGTATGGAAATTCAGCAGACAGATGTAAGAGCAATACCTGGAATGAAATGCTCTACGCACCATCCAAAATATACTCCATTAATTAGTTATGAGAACAAGACAATACAATTATGGAAGTTTGGTAGATGCAAGTAATAACGATTATTATTGATTTGCAAAGAAGCAGCTGACTAGCTACTAGGCTAATACTAGTATACTATGTAAGTACATTTAAATGGAAATGGAAACTTTTATAGCTATATAGGACTAAACCTACTATGGAAATTGAAACAATAAAAGAACTTGGGTGGTAGTGCAGTAACTCCTTTGTAAGTGGTGCTCTTATCTATACTGTTTATTGGGGTTTGGTGCCCCAAGTGAATGCCCATGTCCACATAAACATGTCTTGGTTGCATAGGAACTCGCATTGTTGAATGTTGAAGTAGTGTTAACTTCAATTTGCTTCTTTGTATATTTATTAAGTTGTCATGGTTTTTCAATAGAACTTGTTTGAAGTTTTTAAATCACCTATAAAACTTTCTATTCGATATTTCCCTGCATATTCTTTTAGCCATTCTTTCATCTTCTGGTATTTCATGTTTTCTCTGGTTAATTTGTTCTTTTCATTTCCAATTTTCATAGCAGATCCTATCATTGCTTCCCAAACTAGTAACTTGCTTAACCACCTTGGCAAAGACAAATTAATGTTATATGACTCCAAAAGGGGGCTGGGAGATCCACTCAATCAAGTTTCCTAGGCCGGCCTAGAAAGTTGTCATTACCATATGCATTATTTTACAGAATATTTTTTATTGTCAAAGATGCATAATATATTAAATACTTATAGATTCTGCCAACATGTTTACCTACTAGGTAGGGTGAAGAGTTTTGTATGACTTCAAGCCACAATCTCCCAAAAGGATTATCACAAAGACTATTTCATTCTTCAAACTTCCACTACACTTGGGGCATATTCTCCTGAGCTAAATCTCACCTATATCAG